ATGTGACCATCAAAGGAAGGAATTAATGCTGTGAGGCTGACCATCAAAGGAGTTAACAATACCATGAGACTGCAGAGCCTCCAGAGGTCCGTGCCAGCCAGGAGCTGAGTCAAACCGTCCTGGATTCTTTGTTTTCCCCCTCCCGCCCCACCTTGGCTAAATTTTGAGCTTGGAAAACATTTTAACCCTCAGACACTAAATGTGTGAGTACCTACCTGTGTTGTGTGAAGATTGGGAGGATTCAAGGACTAGGAGGGTTCAGGCTCTTTGAGAAGAGCTCACCTAACTACTGGACCTATCATGTAAGAGGGTGTTCTGTCAATAGTAGTTACTATTGACAATGTGCGTTAAGTTATGCTGAGTGAAGTCAGCCAGATCTGGTGGAAAGAGAAGCACCACGTGCCCTCTCTTCTTTGTAAACATTAGCTCTGAATCTCTAGATTCAAGTATGTAACCGGAAGTATCTGAAGAACCCACAAGAAAGGGACTAAGGTGGGATGGAGAAGGAGGAGAAGGATGGAGAAGAAGAGGGAGTCTAGAGAGGGGTATAGTAGGAGAGGACTGCTGTAAAGCAGTACTGGGGAAAATGTGCACAGGAAATTTTACTGTGGGTACAGGGGGAGGGTGAAGAAGCGGAGATAAATCATACTAAGGGTGTTTGAAACAGCCATAGGGTAATGTGTTATATATCTGTATTATAATACATATATATAATATAATATATCCATATATATTTAAAATATATGTATGTATGCATATGTGTATGTATGCATGTATGTGCAAGTGTGCGCATGCTACCCTCAAGAGCCAAGCATTGAACACAAATCCCAGTGGTGCCAGGATGGGAAACCTCCAATAAGATGTAGGTTGGAGGAATGCAAGATACTCCTAAAACAACATGGGCTATTACCATTTTCCTTGATTTCATTCCAGAATTTGGAGGTAAGGCCCTATTGCTGAAGATGCTACATACTTCAGATACAGGACCATGGAGGAATAGAGCTAGAACTGACCTAGAAGGAAGGTACTGTGCAAGCTGCCAAGGGAGGGAAGCAATTAGTAGTTCTAACCACTTGTAAAGGCTACAAACAATATTACCAGCCCTGCAAGATATCTCTAGCAGTGTAATGGTGGCGCTCTTATCTTGGGGGTTACCAACAGTTGTCTAGTTGGACTTAAGGCCTATTCAGCAGGAAGTGATCATGCCTAGTACTGTAAATCTAGTCATAGGAGAGGTCATAGACCTGAAAGAAGAACCTACTATCACTATTTTCCTAAACCAACAGAATTTCTATTGGTTTCTATTTCTATTGCGTTCTAAATGATTATCTTTATACCCATCGATAACCTATAGTCCTCATGTCTCACAAAAGAAGCTTCTTTCTACAATAGGTGGAGACTATTTTAGAGACCCTCCACTGGCCATAGTGCAGGGAATAAGAGACTGTGCGGTGGCCAACCTGAACTGCTACACCTGTAATGTAGCCCCTACACCTACGGCTCAGGGGAAAGCATGAAGCAGGATTATAAGAGCCAGAAGCTCAGGATGCCTGCTATTAAATGATGTCCCTTAGGTATGACAGGGGAAACACATCCATGAAATAGCAGCAATATGGTTGCCTGAACAGATCTAGCATAATGACAATGCCAGCTGACATGCCAGTGTTGATGGGGGAAATTGCACATGGTTTCACCCCTAGATGAAGAGTTATAGGTGTTCATTGCCTGCAAGGAGAATCAGTTTCTTCCAAGGGTGAGCTCCCTTGTGATCAGCCTTGGGATTGGATAACCTGTGTTCATATAAGAAATGCTAGATGTATAAACATGCATATATATGTATATGTACTGTATGTGTATGTACACACAATTATACAGGAGTATCAAGGTGAGGTACAGGTCATCTATGGAATCGGCAGAGCTTATTCCCTGGGACAGCCAGAGCATCGGACCTCTGGGAAAGGTAAAAGACTGAATCATGAAAAGGAGGAACCACTTGGCAGATGCCAAGAAAGTAACACTTAGGAGTCAGAATGCTTCCAAAATGGAGAAGATGGCTTGAGCCCAGACAGTAAAAGTGATAGGTGGAGATTCAGTGCTGCGGATGCAGAGAAAGGATTGTGAGCTACAAAGAGAGACAGAAAGAACAAAGGAACAAACTTTATTAGAACAAACAGCTCCCGTCGTTGAGATGGTTGAAGGCGTTGAGATGGTTGAAGGCGTTGAGATGGTTGAAGGCGTTGAGATGGTTGAAGGCGTTGAGATGGTTGAAGGCGTTGAGATGGTTGAAGGCGTTGAGATGGTTGAAGGCGTTGAGATGGTTGAAGGCGCTGAGATGGTTGAAGGCGTTGAGATTGTTGAAGGCGTTGAGATGGTTGAGGGCGGAGAGGCCACTCAGGGACTCAGGTCCCCATACTCTTCCTTCTGCCTCCCTTCTCTTTCTCTCTGAGTGGTCTGGCTAGGATCCTAACCTGAGAAAACTCTTCCTTCTCTGGCCCTCCAACCCCTTGGAGCAAGAAGCAGGCCCTCTTAAAGGGTCCCATGCACAGTCTCCTGGTCAGCTTCTGTTCCCCTGGACCTCCTTCAATATGGATACACACGGAATAATAATAACTAAATAAGGGAGGACATGGGAGGGGTGTGAGTGGGAGGGGGGGTGGGAGAGAAGTAGATACAGTGCTCATGTATGAAGTTCTCAAAATAAAAGGCCGGAGAGACGGCTGTGTCAGGAGCACTGGCCGCACTGGCCACTCTTCTGGAGGATCAGGATTGATTCCCACTACCCATGTGGTAGCTTACAACTGTCTGTAACTCCAGTTCCAGGTTATCTGAGGTGGGCACCAGGCATGCCTGTGGTGTACAGACATTCATACGCATAAAGTATAGGCAGGCAAACATTCATACATATGAAGTAAATTAGATTTAAAAACAAAACAAAGACTAGTAAATAAAATAAATCAAAGCCCCAAAGCACTCTCACTTTAATTTTAATTGAAATTGAAATTTGCAATTTCTTTTTACTCCATGTAGTTTTCAGTGGGATGATTTGTGATCTGTTAGCTGCGCCTACAATATTCTTCTATTGCAAATTATTCTTTGAATATTTCATTTTAGTTTAATGCTACATGTGTAGAATTCTCCGAAAATGAACTAACTAACATTATTAAAACAGGACGTGTGTACTTTAAAAATTGCATTAAACTGGGGAAGAATTCGCGTTGTGCCGATGAGGAATGCATTTCTGAAGCCACCCCCAGCCGGTGCGTTCTTGCTGCTCCCACATATGCTATGCCTGGGGAGTCTTGCAAGCTCTGCTTTCAGGTTTGTCAGCATAATCTCGAAGATGGCCCTGAAGATGGTTCAGAGATATGGCCATGCGCAAGCAAAGGTCAGGAGCTGACGTCCCTGGAGGTGCTATTTGTGCCAGCTTGGAGGTGAAAGGCCGGCATGTGCAGAAGGCGCACGTGCTCCTTTGTGCTCTGGTGTGGCCTGTGCGTGAAATCCTGCCTTCTCTTCACTGACCATGAAGAAAGGAAGGCAATAAAAATGAGGTTTAAGACTAGGAGGAGATTGTGAAGGGGGCAGGTCCGCGGAAGATGGCGCCACCGCTAGAACAAGCTGTTCATTAGGAGAAATGAGGAAAAAGGCAGGAGTTTCAAAAGGAGGGTCGGCACAGCCTCATGAAGTCAATGCTATTACTTAGTAAATGCTCTTTTTTCTCCCTTTTCTAGCTCTTAAAAAATGGATCTTTCCATATTACCTATTTATGGGTACATGGAAACTGGTATCATTTTACACTGCAGCTCTGTTATCTATAGTGTGTGTGTGTGTGTGTGTGTGTGTGTGTGTGTGTGTGTGCGCGCGCGTGAATGCATGCTTACCATAGCACACATGTGGAGGTCAGAGGATGTCTTGTAGCAGTTAGTTCTCGCCTTCCTTCCATCCACCATGTAAGACTTGGGGACCCAGGCTTTGTCAGGCTTGGCAGCGGGTGCCTTTACCAGCTGAACCACCCCCTTGACCCTCCACCTCACTTACTGTGACTATCCTTCCAGTGTGAGTGAGTAGGAATTTGAAAGATGGCCACAGAACAGTTCGTGGTACATCTGACTAAAGAGCAGCCAGGGCCATACCCTTGAGTTCTTTCCATAGTTTATTATTTTAAACCAAGATCTGCGGTAAGTTTCCTTTTGCTTATTTCCTCTATTTTTCACTCACTCCCCTAACCCAGTTTCTTTCCCTTGTTTTGCAGAGCTGGGATTAAATCTGGAGTCTTGCAATGCTAGGCAACTACTCCACCACTGAGCGCAATCCCCAAACCTCTTTTGCTGTAAATTTTGAGGCAGTCTCACAAGGTTGCCTGGCTGTCCTTGAACTTGTGATCCTTTTCCCTCAGTCCCTCTTCTACCTGATAGTCCATATGGGGCTGGGAAGCCCAGATGTGTAGTCTGTTTTTTTTTTTTTCAATTACAATGTTTGAAACTATGTATCTCAGTCATTTTATAAAGTACTTTTAGAGCAGTCCTTGTCTTGAACTTATTTATCTGTCGAAGCACTTATCCATCATCCTGTCGAAGATAAAAAGTGTTGCTGAATTTAACATTGAAAAACAAGGGTGTACGTCCAAACTGTGATTTGTTATGTATGGTCTGACCTGTCAGCATTTACTAGTGTGTGTCCCCTGTCTCCTGCATGTGCCTCAGTGTACTGAGGACATTAGAGGACACAGCTTTTAGGACTTGGTTCTTTGCTTCCTCTGTGGGCTCGGGGGATCAAACTCAGGTTGTCAGGCTTGTGTGGCAATCATTTCTAAGTGGATTTGTTGGCAGTATTCAAGCTAACACAAAAACCTCAACTCTGCAGATACTGTCCACTGAGGACATTTCCAGGGTCAGTAACTCTTTTATAGGCCCTTTCCGTTGCTGTGACCTTCATGAAGCGCCTTTCTCTGTGGGAATAACTCTGCTTTTTATCTCCCTCCCCCCTACCTTCTGGATCTTCAGCTATGACAGAGACTCTACCTTCAATGTGTTTGTGGGAAAAGGCCAGCTGATCGCAGGCATGGACCAGGCTCTGGTCGGGATGTGCGTAAACGAGAGGCGTTTCGTGACGATCCCCCCAAACCTCGCCTATGGAAGTGAAGGAGTGTGTAAGTTTCCACTCTAGCTACAGACATTTTTGCAGCCTCTGCAGCCAACGTGGCTGGAGAATTTGGGATTTCTAATAGGGGAAAAAGAAAGGCCCAGCACCCACAGCTAGCATTTCCATTGGTAGGTTTCTCTCTTAGACATAGAAGAAAGTGCCAACACAGGACTATCTAATGAACTGTTGATAAGTCTCTCTCTCTCTCTCTCTCTCTCTCTCTCTCTCTCTCTCTCTCTCTCTCTCTCTCTCATTTTACCTGGAGGAAGGATGTAGGAAGAATGGACCTTTTGGAAGTGCACATCAGTGATGGGTTTGAATTCTTTTGACTTCTGTTACATTGGTAGTAGTTGGCAGTTGATTTTCCTTGCTAGATATGAGGATGTTTTTTTATTTAACCCACTTAGGTCATTGATAGCAAACCAAAGATCCCACCTAAATCCAGCGTGGTGAATCAGTGAGTTTCTTGGAGTAATTTACTGAAGGTTGGCTGGGGGGGGGGGGTTGTGAGTGACTCCATAGCAGCTGGATCAGTCAAAAGCCCTCGGTAGCAGGAGTGATGCCACATAAAAATTGCATCCCCTGAGCTCCCTGTATCACTTAGAGACCGCTCTTCAGGGCACAGTTCCACTCCGTAGCCCCTGTTTACACTTTTACAACTTTGGGGGAGAAACCGAGTAAATCTTGTACTTTTCATGAGCTTCCCCCCCCCCCTGTCTGCTGTACCCTCCTGGGGGGGGGGGAGGGTAGGGATGCAACATGGAGAAACCGGCCATTTGACAGTGACTTTCTAGGCATCTCTGTGTTGCCAGCAGATGGCAGACTTTCAGTGTGAACCCGCTTTGACTCCTAGCTGGTGTGATCCCTCCAAACTCGGTACTTCATTTTGATGTCCTCCTGATGGATATTTGGAATTCTGAAGACCAGGTTCAGATTGAGACGTATTTCAAGCCCCCCAGTTGTCCTCGGACTATCCAGGTATCTGATTTTGTGAGGTACCATTACAACGGGACATTCTTGGATGGAACACTGTTTGATTCCAGGTAAGTTCCACTGTTTGTGGCAGTGTGTGAAATGCCGTGGTTTCTTGTGTCATGTCTTCTTTCTGTGCTCATTTGGAAACCAGAAAAGGTACCCTACCAAACTATACCTAAGTATCAAATCCTACCCCATGTAGTTTGGTTTGTGTTTAATTCTCTGTGGTGTCCGTCAAAATATAACACCTTAGAAGAAATTAAGAAATTAAAAACAACCTTGATTTTACTTAAACCATATTTGAAGATCTCCACTTTAGTGAAGAGCCACATTTCCCAGGACATTCATGGGTGTTTGACTCATTCATATAGTTTGCCCATGAAAAAGGGAGGAGAGGGCTGGAGAGGTGGCTCAGGGGTGAAGAGCAATAACTGGTCTTCTAGAGGTCCTGAGTTCAATTCCCAGCAACCACATGGTGTCTCACAGCCATCTATAATAAGATCTGGTGCCCTTTTCTGGCCTGAGGGATACATACAGGCATAACACTGTATACATAATAAATAAATCTTTTTAAAACAGGAAGGGGGAAATGGGACTATAGAGAAGTATGAAGCTGGGATGAAAACCAGGCAACTCTGTGGCGTTTTCTGTGATGACAGAATGCTCAGTGAGTGGGATAGCTGCTGACTGCTGGTCTAAATATGAGCTTTTCATTCTCCTAATATCAGGGAGCAAAAATGGGATATATGCTTGTCCCTAGGGATGACCGTGGGCTCCTTGTGTACCTGAGATTTGAGAAACAGAACCTCCAAGGGATGAATTAGAAATAGTATGGAATTTGCTTCCTTCTTTTTTTTTTTTTAAAGCCACAATCGCATGAAAACCTATGACACTTATGTGGGAATTGGATGGCTGATTCCAGGAATGGACAAAGGGCTGCTGGGCATGTGTGTTGGGGAGAAGCGTATCATCACCATCCCCCCTTTTCTGGCCTATGGAGAAGAAGGAGATGGTAAGTCCTCTTTCTCAGAGCTTCTTTCATTCGTCTTTATATGTTGATTTTTGAGTATGTGTGTTCCTGCTTGTCAGTATGTGCACCACGTGAGTGCATTGCCCTCAGAGGCCAGAAGAGGGCTTCAGATCCCCTGGAGCTGGAGAGACAAACTGTTGTGAGCTGCCTGATGTGGGTGCTGGGGGCTGAACCTGGTAAGTGCTCTTAACCACCGGGCCATCTCTGAGCCTTTTCTCTAGCTTCATTGTCCTTACTTTTATTTGGAGAGCTCAGTTCATCTGTGACCCATGATATATACCAGGACTTTTGCTGTAGACCAACACTCAACACAAGCTACCACATGTGGCTGTTTACATTGAAGTGAAAATGAATTAAATTTAAATTCAGTTCTGGTCACATCCTCACATTTCAGATATGCAAGAGCCACACATGGCTGGGGGCTCCTGAGCTGCTACACAGACACTTTTCATTCCCATCGTTGCAGAAGGTTCTGTTGCACAGTGCTAGACAGGATGATCTTCTGTCTGGAACTTGCATTTGCTCATGGCCATTGGTGTTCACGTTAAACACTGTCCCTCCCTGCCTTGCCAGCTGCGGCCCTGTGCACTAACTTTTCTCACTTTCTTTTCTGTGAGCAGTGTTTGACCTAGACGGTTTAAAAGGATGTAAACATCAAAGTAACAATTTAGCTTACAAAGTAACAATTTAGTAACGTTTCCCAGCTTTTCATCTTTATTTGCTTTATGAGTATGTGTGTGTTCTGCTTGGACAAACTTAAAGCATAAGGTTGCCTGTGGGTATAGTGGAGCTGGTAGCATACTTGCCTAGCATTCCTGAAGTCCCCAGTTTGATTCCCCAGCACATGGTGTGTGTGTGTGTGTGTGTGTGTGTGCATGCGTGCTGCACTTCTAATTTCTGTACCTGGGAGGTGGGGGGGGGGATGAGGAGTTCAAGGTTATCTCCAGCTACGTAGGAAGTTGGAGGATCTTGTCTCCTGTCTCAAAGTAAAATAAAATAATCATTTTATTTTTATAAGAAGAGAAGTCAAGTGTTGTATGATACATAAGGTTTATTAGTTATTTATATTAAATTTTACACATTTGATCATTCTGACTGTGGGACACAACGGAGATCTTTAGGCACTTAAATAGCAGGCATACATGGGATAAAGAATAGAAATAAGAGCAGGTGATCTATGCCGGTAGGATTTGCTGAAGGAGGCAGAGGCAGGAAGATCATGAGTTCTAGGCCAGCCTGGGCTACACATTTTTTTTGGGCTGGGCAGTGGTGGTGGTAGTGTACACCTTTAATCCTAGCACTTGGGAGGCAGAGGCTGGTCTCTGTGAGTTTGAGACTAGCCTGGTGTACAGAGCAAATTCCAGGACAGCCTCCAAAACTACCGAGAAAAAAAAGAAAAAAAAAAAAAAAAAAAAAAAGAAAAAAGAAAGAAAAAGAAACAAAGAAAGAAAGAAAGGAGAGCAGGGCCTGGTGGCATACTCCTGTAATAGCAATTGAGAGGCTAAGACAGAGGATCATGAGTTCAAGGCAAGCCTGGTAGGTAAGGCATATTTACACACACACACACACACACACACACACACACACACACACACTAAAAAGCGATACAAATGAAAGATGGTGCTATTGAGGATGTTGAATGCACTCAACTTACTATAACCAATGTAATATTTTCCAAGCTGTTTTCTGCCTCTGTTGTCTGTAGAGCAAAGGAGAGGGAAGCCTGAGAGGGTGAGGTTCAGCCCTTCCATGTTTCCTGTTTCCATGCTTGAGATCTGCAAACAGCTCTCTGGTTGTACTTTGGTGTTACTGTGATAAAACACTATGACCAGAAACAATTTATAGAAGGAAGAGTTTATTTGGGCTTACGAATCCAGGGAATAAGAGCCCATCGTGGCAAGTAGGCATGGCAACAAGCAGCAGGCATGGTAGCATGAGCGAGGGGAGAGCTCACATCTTCAAATGCATGTACAAAAAACAAGAGAGGCAACCGGAAGGTACAAGGCTTTTCACCTCAATGTCTGCCCCTGGCGACAGACTTCTCAAGTAAGGCTTTATTGCCTAAATAAACTCACAACCAGTATTACCAACTGAGGAGCAAGTGTTCAAATGTCTGAGGCTATGGGGGCATCTCTCATTCAAGCTGCTAGAATGGGTTATATTTGTTTGTTGGTGCTTGCGATCAAACTTGTGCATGCAAAACGTGCTATCCCATTGACTACAAACTCAGTCCTGCATTACTTCTTCAGAGAATGGGGACATGGAATGTCCTACTACAGAGAAGTAGTTTGGAGACCATTACCACAAATGTGTCTTCCTTCTTGTCTCTGGAAGGTATAACATTATTTTTATTTATGTTCAGATTGTCGCATTCTTGGCCAGTGGGAGTGCACATGTTTTAGTCCCTACGTCTTTTGTCTTTTGCTGTGTAGCCAGAGCTGGCTTTGAATTTCTGATCTTCCTGTCTCAGCTTCCCAAGGGCTGTCAAAATATTTTGGATATCATCTAAATGACAAAAAAAGACTCCCAGCCTAATTTAAGAATTGTATTTATTCCTTTATAGTAGACGACTAGTACCTACATAGTTACAATAACAATTTAAGGGTACTATATATTTATGTAATACTTTACTATGCTCAGCTATCCAAGTATACTTTAAATGTTTGACTTTTGTGGTATATAAATTATATCTCAGGAAAGCTGAAAAAATATTCAGTGAGTATATATTGGTGCTAGGAACATTTAAATCCTGGAGCTGATTTTGATGCTTTCCTGAGATCACTCTCTTTGGACATTCGGGCTTGGACCTGATCTTTAACAGCACAAGGAAAATGGAACAAAACAAAATAAACTTCTTTAATTTTTTTTTCATACAACATATTTTGATCATATCCTTACCCTTCCCCAACTTCTCTGGAATCCTCCCCACCTTCTTACTCACCAAACTCCATGCATTCTCTTTCTCAAAAGAGAAAAAACAAGTAAAGTACAATTAAAAAAAAAACATGGACAAAAACATGTAGTCCATTTTGTGTTGGCCAGCTATCCCTGGGCATAGGGCCTGCCCTGGAATATGTTTGATAATGCTGACACTTCCTTTGAGAAAACTGACTTTCCCTTTCTCAGTAGGTATTAATTGCAAATAGCTTCTTGGTTAGGGGTAGACGTGTCCCCTTCCCCAAATCGGTTTGGGATGTGATCTGGTTTGAATCTGTGCAGGTCTTGTACCTGCTGTCATCGGCTGTGAGTTCGTATGTGCACCAATCCTGCTATGTCTGGAAGATGCTAATGAAACTTCCTTTAATTCTCTTTACCCCAATGCATAAAATATGTGGTTTGTTAACCTCTTAAATCTTCCCATTCCTGGAGGGAATGTTTCAATTCCAGGGGGAAACTGCTATACAACATACATAAATAATTGTCATTATGCATTTTTAAGCGAATAATGAAAAAATAGAAGTATATGTTTTCAGTACAGATAAAAATTTTTTTTTAGAAAGGTCTAATTTAGTACAGGGCTGGCCTTGAATTCATTATGTAGCTGAGGATAACCTTGAATTCCCATCATCCTCCACCTCCCCAGTACTAGGGTTACACTTGTGTGCTACCATGTCTGGTTTTATAGGCATAACTTTTTGTCCTCAATGTTTTCGCTTTTAGGTTGGTTGAATCCATGGATGTAGAACCCATGAATACAGGGGGTAGGCTGTGTCCAGTACACCCTGTCTTAGAAACATCCAAGAGAAACAGCACTATGCAGAAATGAGATAGAAAAATGTAAAAACTATTTTTTGGATTATGTGTACCATTTTTCCTTTGCAATCTAACTTCTGTTTATTTTTTGTTTTGGGTAAAGAACTTTACATTTTCAAGTTGGTTTTAAAGAACAAGACCTTATGGTGTTTTCCAGAGCAAAGCCACAGGTTTGGAATTTGTGCCTTTGAATGTTTCCAATGCATCTGTGCAGACAGAACCCACAGTGGGTATGGTTTAGGTTTCCATGTGGGTGCATACTGCCCACAGAGAGCTGCTCATTGCAGCCTGACAATCTGGAGTGTGGTCATGGTGGTAGTATGTGGCCTGTCAGCTTGCTCTCCCTGAGTCAGTCAGGCGTTGTGCTATACCCGCTAGCCCACGGTCAAACACCAAGGTGAGACACTGTAGCTACACAACACGGAGAACTGAGCGTTTGTTTCCTTGGCTTGAAAATATCAAGGAATGAGGAATACCAACTCAGAGGGCATGAGTGGTGTTTAAATGATGTTTCTGGGGTGAATTGCTCTTCCATTTCACTCTAGGGAAGGACATTCCTGGGCAGGCATCCCTAGTCTTTGATGTTGCATTGTTGGACCTCCATAACCCCAAGGATAGTATTTCCATCGAGAACAAGGAGGTCCCTGAGAACTGTGAGCGAAGGAGTCAGAGCGGGGACTTCCTTCGGTATCATTACAATGGCACACTTCTGGATGGCACCCTCTTTGATTCCAGGTAAGGCAACCATTTTTCTCTCACCAGAACACCCAAGTAAAGTGTAACTGACCACAGTTGACCATGGTCTAAATATACCATCAGTGCTGACTCTTATTTTAATCTTCAGTACAGGTCTCGGTTTTCAGACTCTGAATTTGTTTCTAGGTGGTTACAAGGGTTTCTTGCTTTAGATGTCCTGAAAGAAAATGGGAGGGACTTACCCTAGACTCGTGTTTTATTCCTTCCCTCTCTGAACTCCACTGTAGACTCCAAGATGTGGAGTGGTCAGAAGTGAGGTCACAGAGACACAATGAACAAAAAAACCCAACTCTCTGTGGTGCCCTGGTATAGAAGGATGGATTAAAATACACAGGACTAGGTTTAATAATATGGGTTGTTATATTTTATTTGGGGAGAAGTCACTTACAAGAGAAACCAATGGCCCGCAAGTTCCCGCTCCAAGGATCCAGGCCCAGGCTGCTCTCAGTGACATGGCTGGAACTGAGAGTGAGAGAGAAAGAGAGAGAGAGAGAGAGAGAGAGAGAGAGAGAGAGAGAGAGAGAGAGAGAGAGAGAGAGAGCTGGGGTCCTGGACCCCAGGCCTAACCTCCCTCTGTCAAGTCTGCACCTGTGGCCAAGCCCAAACGGGCTGTAGCACGGTCAGTGCTACAGGTGTGAGCAGAGTGGACATCTCACTACACCCAACATTGGATGGTGCTGGAGCTCTCTGAACATCAGCTTCTTCCAGTTTCAACACGTTCTCCAGGGTAAGGTAGTGAGGACGCTGTGTAAATGTTAAAGGATGACCAGCTGGAGGAGGCTGCTGGATGCCTTTAGCTCCTGAACGGATGCTTCAGAGGGCAATTACTCTGCCACAGGCGGCTTCAATGCACAATGCATGTGGCAAGCTGTGGCATGTCTTATTCATTCAGGTGGCAGCTTAGTTTTGAAATCACTCCTTTAGCTTCCTATAAACAAGTGGTGACAGAACCTCAGTCTCTGAGGCAATAGATTTCTAATTTGTTTACTCATCTAATTTGTTTTTGCATATTAAAGTTAGACTTTACTGTGGCATTGTTTTTTATTGGGAAAACTAGTCCTTATTATTAAGATCTCTTCTACACTTTTATGAAAATTTTCATATGAAAAGTAGTTGCCACGGTATGAAGTGAAACAAAGTAATAAATTAAGATATTCAATGTACGCATCTATTTGCCTCATTCGTTCTATTCTTTAGAGGTAACAATTTTAATTAATTAATTAGGATGTATTTATTTTACGTGAGTGTTATTTTTTTTTGTTGTTGTTTTTGGGGTTTTGTTTTGTTTTGTGTTTTTGTGAGTGTTTTGCCTGCATTTATGTATATGTATCTGGTGTGCCTGGTGCCCACAGGGGTCAGAAGTCATTGGCTGTCTTGGAACTAGAGTTATGGATGGTTGTGAGCCACCATGTGGGTGCTGGGAACCGAACTTGGTCCTCTGCAAAAGGAACTGGTACTGCTGAGCCATCTCTCTAGTCCCCATTTAACCATTTTATAAGCATCTCTTTACTCTTCCTTTTCCTTCCTCTATCTTCTCTCTCCTCCGCCTCCTCCTTTCTCTTCTCACTCTTTAGAAAGCTTATACTTGGGGAATGAACCCCAGGACTTGATACTGAGCTAAAACTCCAGTCTTTTAATTTTTGAAGTGGGCTGTTCCTCTGTAGCTTACATTGGTCTTGAACTCCTGAACTCAAGGTGGTCCTAATAGAGTATGTACCTGTGTTCCCCAACTACTTGGGAGGTTGAGGTAGGAGGATTGCTTTAGCTCAGATGTTGGAGCCTAGCCTGGGCAACTTAGGGATTGCCCTGTTAAAGGAACGGAGGGAGGAAAAGAAGGAGGTAGACAGGTTATTTTCTGAGCATACTAGATTTCTTCCCACATGACAGAACTATTGTTTCTGCAGGTTTTAAGTAGTTTCCCCTTTGAGTACAGTGGTTATATCACCCGCCCAACCCAACATAATAGATTTTTGTCTTAAACTTGGGCAAACCATTTATGATTTTACTATCCTTTGACATTTAAGAGTTTTATTTATTTTTGTACCTAAGTCTTTAAGCATGTTTCCAAGAAGAATCTTTGGGTCAAAGCTTGTATGTATGTGTGTGTATGTATTTAATTTTAGTATATTCTTTTTTTTTCTTTTTTTGAGACAGATTTCTCTCTATATATTCTTAATTAAAATAGAATTATATTGCTTTCCCCTTTCCTGTCCACCCTCTTATGAATATCTTTATAGCTTTTGATATACATCTTCTGGGTATCATTTGGAAGTAAAAGCCAGGTTTGGTTGCTTATGTTTTTAACCCTAGCACTTGTAAGGCTGAGGCAGGAGGATTGTTTCATGTTTTGATGCTAGCCTGGTCTCAAAACATAAAACAAAACAAATTAAACTTTGTTAATTTTCAAGAGAAAAATCATACCTATGGTTTGAATCAGAAGTTCTTTGGTTATTGTTTCCAAATATTTATTTAGATATCTTTTGTTATTATTTTTGCACATTTTTATATTGATGGTATTTAATTTGTCCTTTTCTTACTGATTTGAAGAAATTAAGCTTTTTATGGTTGATATTGTTGAGAGCATTCTGTTTATATTTTAGTTTTTGTCCTATATGTTTAGTGTTTTGACTATAATATGGCATGGGAAAGTTCTCTGGTCTTGCCTAATTGGTATCCTAAGTGCATATTATTTCTGGGAACCTTCCCCCTAGAGTCAGGAAAATTTCTGCTATTTTATTGAACATGGTTTTTGTGCCTTGAATGTGAAATTCTTCTCCTATTCCTGTGCCTAGATTTGGGGTTTAAATTGTGTTCCATAGATCTTGAATATTCTACTAATATTCTGTTACTTAATCTGTCTTGGATATTGTCTGAATATGACAATTCCTCCACCTTGTCTTCAGGATTCGATATTCTGTCCTCCTGTTGATCCAGTCTGCTGGTGAGTCTCTCCAACTTATATGGCATCCTGAAATTCTCATTCCCAGTGTTTCAGTTTTGATTTTTTTCAGTATTTTTAGAAATCACATGTATGTATGTGTGTTTGCATGCACATTATGTACATATAAGTGCAGGTATCTGCAGAGGCCACATTCCCACGGAGCTGGGGCTACAGGAAGGTTTGGGCCACTGCTCTGGGTGTTGGGAACTGAACCGAAGTCTTGTCTCTTAACCACTGAGCTGTCTCTCCAGCTCCTCAGTTTTTCCTCTTTATTAAATTCCACTTTTATATGTTGCATTGACTTCCTTATCTTATTCATTTGCTTTTGTTCTCTCTTAATTATGAGTTTGTGTTCTGTTTGATTTCCTTGAATATATTTATAATTATCCTTTTGAATTCTTTGCTTGGGATTTCATCTAATTCATTTTCTATGCAGGCCATGCTATGAAATTGGTGATTCTTGATGGAGTCAGGCTGTATTTGTTCTACACAGTCCTTATGTTTTTACACTGGGACTTAACTTGTGCATCTTTAGGTTTTGTTTTTGTTCTTTTCACCTTCACCCTTATTTTTTTCAATGTGTCTGCAGTGCTCAAGAGGGACTGGGCTTCGAAAGCATGAGGAGGAGTCACCTTTGTCTGCTAGAATGGTGTTAAGGGCACCAGGCTCAGTCCCCAGTACTTCTAGAGAGTGGAATCCTATCTCCCAAAACAATTGCTGTCAGAAGGAAGGTCCACTATGAAATTACATGATAAACCAAACACATTGTTTAGGTGTAAGGTATTTTAGGAGGTAGGAAACATTGATAGTACTTCATATGCTATGCTGTGGGTGTGAGCAGAAAAGGAAAAAGCAGTGTTGAGCTGATAAAAAGATAGAGGAGAGAATTGTAAATCCCAGGGGAGAAAGGGAACTGGAAGGAGCTAGGCAACTCCCATCAGCTCTGTTGTGTGGCTGCTTCTCACACTCCCATTCCTTTTATAATGTGGCCGTACACACGAAGTATAATATGTTGTTTCTGCAGATGCTCACGTGCTCCCTATTCTAGGGGACACATTCATGGGCTGTGTCCTCATATTCTGTGGTGTAGCTGTTCTGGGTGTGGAGGTGCTTGTGGTCCTTTGGCATCCGGATTCTGAGTTCTTCCCACAGCTGCTGTGGGTATCCCTTATGAGTGACCCTGTCTTTTCCTTCTTCTTTCTTAGCTACTCACGGAACCACACCTTTGACACCTACATTGGCCAGGGCTATGTAATTCCTGGGATGGATGAAGGCTTACTTGGTGTTTGCATTGGAGAGAGGCGAAGGATTGTGGTCCCTCCTCACCTGGGCTATGGAGAAGAAGGAAGAGGTGTGTATTACCTGCCCTCCTCACTGACTGCTTTCATGTTGCTCAGGTCAGCACTTGCTGAGGTAAAACAAGGAAGCCAGATGTAGTGTAAGACTCCATCCCACTGGGGAGTTCATGTCTATGTCCCCTATCCATTTTCCTTCTCTTTCAGAGAAATCTAAAATCTACACCAGTGTTGAAAGGATTGCACAGTGAATGCTACATTGTTTCATCAAGCTAACACTTTACTACATCTATCATCTATCTATCTATCTATCTATCTATCTATCTATCTATCTGTGACTATATGTTATTGTATATATTTATTTATTTTTATTTTACATGTATTCACCTGCATGTATGTAAATATACCATGTGTATGCTCTGTCTGAGGAGACCAGGAGAGGACACTAGAGTTAAAGACAGATCTGAGCTGCCATGTGGGTACTGGGAACCGAACCTGGGTCCTCTGGAAGAGTAGCCAGTATTCTTAACGGTTAGGCCATCTCTCAAGCCCTCACATTTTACTATGTTTTAACTGCCTTTATATTTATATTTATTTCTTTATTTTAAATAAAGTGCTTGAAAGTAAGTGTAACTTCATCCCCTCCCTTTGCTTTTGATTTTGCACACTAAGAAATTCTCCCATTTAACGGTACAATTCAGCAACATTAGTGAATTTAGTGAGTCGTGTAGCCAGCACCTTAATTCTAGAGACATTTTGTCACTTTAAGAGCAAACTTGCTTTAAAAAGTTGTAGAAATAAGCTGGGCAGTGGAGGCACACACCTTTAATCCCAGCACTTGGGAGACAGAGGCAGGTGGATCTCAGTTAGTTTGAGGCTGGTCTACAGAGTGGGTTCCAGGGTCGCCAAGACTGTTATGTTATGAAGAAAAACTCTATCTCAAGAAACAAACACACACACACACACACAAAAAAGAAAACAAAATTGTAGAAATAGCTAAGCATGGTGGCACAGGCCTGCAATCCCAACACTCTGTGGGTGTGGAAGCAGGAGAATCAGGAATTCATAGTCATTCTTGGCTACATGAGGGATTTGAGGCTAGCCTGAGCTAAATGGGACCTTGTTTCAAAAACAAAAGCAAGCAAACAAACAAAAAATCAAAACAAAAAACCAGACAAAACAGATACAAACACTATATTTTATCTTTAGGATAAAAAAAAAAAGATACATAAGACCTACAAACCTCCCTAAATCACACCATGAGAAGTTACTACAGTGATAGGCATATTACATTAAAAAGTGGCCATGGACCTCAAATATTCCTTATTCAAAGGTATCTGCTGGTAGGGTTAAGGATTTTGAAGCTGGGGCAGTGTTCTGAGTTATCAGACGGCCCTGAAATGCTTTGAGGGTCTTTGAGGGAGGCAGGATGTGAGCTGGATGAGAAGCTAACTAAGCTTGGCCGAGACTGAGGAAGTGGCCAAGGCCGCTGGTGCAGGTCACCTTTGGTGGGGACAGGGGAGGGGACAGGCCTCCTGAGGCCTCCAAAAGGAGCCCACCCTTGCCGGTGCCTCTGACTGCCAGAACTGTGTCTGTCTCCTTATCCCCTTTCCCCGTGTCTTCCTGTCTCCTCCCCGTCTCTACTATATCTCTCCCTTGCCTTCTCTCTCTACGCGCTGGGCGTAGAACCCTGTGCACCCTAGGCAAGTGTTCCACCGCTGGCTTCATCCCCAGCTCAGTTCTTGTGGTTTCAAGCCCCCAAATTTGAGGTAATCTGTCTCCCCCCCCCCCTAGTAGATATTTCTGTAAGTTAAATGTATGCACTAAGTATGGGGGATGTATCTATATTTATGGCTCTCGGAAGGTGGAGGCAGGAGAATTGAAAGTTCAAGTCCAACCTGGGCTACGTAGGTAGGCCAGAGAGGAAGAATAAAGCAATAGCTACTATACTAGTGTATACTGAAAGAGGTTGTCTTCTCATCATTTTGTGGTGTAATTCCTCTCTTCACCCAATTGCTTATGAACAAGTTTTATATGTCAACAGGTAGTTTTTGGTTTTGCCCCTAGCCTTTAACAGCCAAGCCATCTCTTCAGCCCATCAACAGATTATTTTAATAGCTACATAGTACTTAATATGTGAAATATGTTTATTTTTGTTTTTGTTATTGTGTTTTTTTTGTCTTGCATTAGATTTTGCTGACTTGCTTAGATTTCCTTAACTCTAGTTGCTGCAGTTTTAATTTTTTTGTTTATGGTTTTTGTTTTTTTTTTCATGGTTATATATTGTTTTTGCTACTGGAGTTCTGGCTGATCTCATTGGCTGAATATACTCACACCGTTAACCCTCTTCTGATTTCTATTCACATACAATAGGGTTCTTGGGTATTTTCTCCGGAGGTTTCCTCACAGAGGATCCAATCAAGCTGATTGGAAACAAAAGGGTACAACTGAGTAGAATTTTCCACTCTGACTTAAATTTCTGATTTTCTGGGCCATAAAGATTCATACTTTAAGAAAATGAGCTGGAGCCATGTGTGGTAAGGCATGCTGTAATCTCAGCACTCAGGAGGCAGAGGCAGAGGCAGAGGCAGAGGCAGAGGCAGAGGTCGGAGGCTTAGGAGTTATAGGTCATCATTAGCTTCTTAGCTACTTTCTACTGCTGTGGAAAGACTATATGACCAAGGCAACTTGTAGATGCATTTGTTTGGGGCTTACATTTCCAGAGGGCTGGAGTCTATGATGGCATAGAAATCACAGTGGTATGGATAGCTAAGAGCTTAGATCTGTAAGTAGGAGGCAGAAAGAGTTAACTAGGAATGGCATGGGCTTTTGAAACCTTAAAGCCTACCCCTAGTGACTTGCTTCCTCCAACAAAGTCACACTGTCTAATCCTTCTCAAAAGGTTTCACCCACCAGGGAGCAAGTAATCAAATCTATGAACCCATGGGGTCAGCCATTCTCATTCATATCATCATACAACCTCACTCAGCTAATAGTGGCCTTGAGGCCAGTCTGGGCTACATGAGACCCTGTTCCAGAAAAACAAAGGGCGGGGGGGGGGGGGGACGGACAGAGAGAGAGACAGAGAGAGAGGGAGAAGAAAAGAAAAAAATATGGCAGCTATCCCCAGATATATATCCCAGTGGTAAAATGCTTGCCTAGCATACTTGAGGCCCTGGGTTCAATCCTCCTCAATTAAATAATAAACAAATAAATAAATAAGTAAAATAGGCCTTGCTTCACGTCCTGTTTAGTGTTTTGATGTTACTGTCTTATACTGTGCTTGGGTTTCCGTTCTAGTCAGCCATGCACAGAAACAGATACTTCTGAGTATTCTTATTTCATTATAACTTAAAGAATAACCCTTCCTGTCTTTAAAAAACAAAAAGAGCACCTTGATGAAAGCCATTTGCTTAAAGCATTTTTTCCCTTTGGCTCTCCATCAAGTATGAGACTGAGGTCTGCACAGAATTCAATGGGGATTTGGGAATCAGCCAAAGAATCGTAACTGTTCGAGTAAGAGGCTGCTCCATCCCAAATCCCATGCTGGTGTAAACCCATGTGCTTGTGTGGGGGAGGGTGCCGCCCCTGTGCTCTGGACTCAGTGACTACTTTGGGATGGTCACATAGGACTTCACGCTGATCCCTGGGGCAGAAACTTGTGAGGAGGGAGCTCTGCCCGGCTTGTGACTTCTCTGAGCCCACCGGAGTGCCAGGCGCTAACAAGGTCTCAGTCGGATCTGAGCAGCAATGAGCCCTTCCCTCGTGGAGCTCACAGCCTTTGCACTTTGTTGTAGGGTTAGTAAAGAGAGTAGGACTCTGGGATCATTCTGGCCTTTTCTGTCTTGCCGTGTTCCTCAAGGGCAGCCCTAACTGAGGACACTTAGAATGTTTGCAGCTCTGATATGCAGCCTCCTTGTTACAGAACTGAGCTTCCTTGTGGTTTGCTGGTTAACTGTCTTTCCAGCCCTTTTTAGGGAAAAAGAGAGTGAGCAGAATAATTGCAATTTTGCCCACGTGTGTCTGGGGTTGTGTGTGTGTGTGTGTGTGTGTGTGTGTGTGGTTGTTGTTGTTGTATATGTGTGTGTGCACATGAATGTTGGTGCATGTATTGAGTGGAGGCCTGAGGTTGATGTCAGGTGTCTTTTCTGGATTGCCCTTCCCTTTTTCAGACTGAGTTTCTCTGAACCTAAAGCTCATCTATTAATTAGCTGACCAGCCAATGAGCTTCAGGCTAGGATTGCAGGCACGAAGTCTATTCCCAGAGTTTTACATATTCTGGGGATCTGATTTCAACGTTTCATGCTTGTGTGGCAGGCACTTTGCTGACTGAGCTGTCTACCCAAACCCTCTGGGAATTCTTGCACAAAACCTCATTGAAAACTGGAAACAGTTGTGGACAGTGTTACTATAATAAGGCTTGTCACATAAACCCGAGGGCCAGATGTTTGATCCTTAATACCCACATAAAACAGCCAGATATGGGGGTGTTGGTGTATGTACCAGGGAGGCAGAGACACAGGGATCTCGGGGGCTTGCTGAGGGAGCCTAGATTACTTGTTCAGTTCCAGAACAGAGGGAAGGAGACCGTCTTAAAAAAAGGAAAGGACAAAAGAAAGAAAGAAAGAAAGAAAGAAAGAAAGAAAGAAAGAATGAAAGGAAGGGAAGAGAGAAAGAAAGAAAAGTGGACAGCGCTCAAGGAACATCACCAGAATTTTCACTCTGACCTGTACATATGTTCTTACACTCACATGTCCAGTGTTACTATAATCACTGTTTCAATAAGATAGAAAGACTATTAAAACTTGAGCACTTTGCTTAAGGCCACAGAATGGAACCACAATTAGACCCAGAGCTTTCTAATGTGTCTTTGTCATAGGACAAGTCCTCATTAGGCAGTGACTTGTTGGTTTCCATTTGTAGTGAACTGAGAACTCAAACCAGAAGTTCCAGATATCTCAAGAGGAATTAGTAACTGCCAGGAAGTTGTCTGCTGGGCAAGGCAGCCTGCTAGCAACCTTTGTTTCAGCTTTGTTGGCTCTTTGGGGGCTCAAGACTAATCCTCAGGGTTCAACATCTGTTCTCTGGTTTTATAGGCTAAGTAAGAAACACTATTTGCTGGTCTATCAAAGACATACTGAGTAATTTCATGCCCATGTTCTGCTTAGGTATTGGGAACCCATCAAGGAGTAAAGGAAACAATAACTTCCTGCCCAAACAGAGCCTAGATCCTCATTGATGCCCTCTCTAGAATGTTTGTGTCTCTGAGTTAACTGGGCACCTGGGAGACTGACCCACATTAACTTCCTAGAAGTTGACAAGCAAGCCTAGTGCTAATACAGTACTCACTTAGTGGGTGAGTCTGTCTCTTGGTTGACCAAGATGTTTGTGTCAAAGAAGTTGACTTAGTCATCTGCAGAGTGCTTAGCAAGCAAGGAACACATCTCAAGAATGTGTGTGTACCAGACTCCAGGAATGTGTGGATCTCGAACTATTCATTTTTCTGTAGACGGCTCTGTTTCCCAGTGCATCATGAAGGAGGCATTTTGTTTATATTAGTCAAGTTTAGTGTCTTCTTTAGTTCTGCTTCTGTGTCTGAGAAAGGCTAGTCTGATTGCAATGCCTGTCTTCAATTTTATTTCTAAAAGATTTATTGATTTTGTGTTTGTGAATGTTTGCTTGTATGTGTGCCACATGGATGAAATGCCTATGAAGGCATTGGTTCCCCTGGAACCAGAGTTATAGACGGATGTGAGCCACTATGTGGGAATGGATCCCAGCTCCTCTTCAAGAGCAACACGTGCTCTTAACTGCTGAGCCATCTCTCTAGCCCTGCTTGCTTCAGTTTGAAAGTTTACCACTTAGTGGCTGTTAGTGTATTCACACTGGGGGTGCAGGTGCTTTGATGAGACCTGTTACAAAAACCCAAACCAAATAGACATGAATACCAGACATGAATACCTATGCCCTACTATAGGCACGAATTTCTCTATAACTCTTAACTTTGGGTGAACCTCAAATTGTGCCCTAGTTTCCCCATTTGTATATTGAAATATAAGATTATGACAAGTATTAAATATATATTTAATAGCCTTATTACACACACATAAATATATACATATATATATGTAATAAGTGCTTATTAAATGTCAGGCACTCATATAATTGCTTTATATGTAGCAGCCCTGACTATGCCTGTCCTGCATGGAATAAGCTGGATACACTATAGACACCTTCTGACTCTAGTATGCTAACATAGGGATGGCATGGTACAGTCTGTTTTTCTGTCTTGAAATTATGAGAGTTTTGCTTTTCTTGAGTAGTAGGTTGGACACTTATCTGCGACCAATGTGCAGTTCATTTCCCATGCTGCCTCTTCTGTTGGGACAGGGCAAGCCTTCATTTGCATAGGCTTGAGTTTCCTGATCTACAGTTTCACTTAGCCCTACCTCTTTTCATGCTTAATAAAAGACAGTGGGCGTGTCTTAAGTTTGAATTCAAATTGTACTCACAATTAGTTTCATGATTCCTGTCAACTGTGCCTCAGTTTCCTCGAGTACAAAATGAAGATTAGATCCTTTATGATATTCCTTCCTGCTCCTTTTTCCTAACACCCCTTCAGTTTCAGGGCTGGGTCCCTGGGTCCTTGCCAGGACACACCTGGTGACACTGGGGAGGCAGGGTGCTGTAGTGGTGGGCTTGTTCACTGACTCCCCATGTCTCCCCTTTAGGGAATATTCCCGGCTCGGCTGTGTTGGTGTTTGACATCCATGTGATTGACTTCCACAACCCTTCAGATTCCATCAGCATCACTTCCCACTACAAGCCCCCTGATTGCTCAGTGCTGAGTAAGAAGGGGGATTACCTGAAATACCACTACAATGCCTCACTCCTGGATGGCACTCTGCTGGACTCCACGTAAGGATACCTGGGAACCAGATGTGGCGGGAACTTGGATGGTAGTTCTCACTGTCTTCCTCTCTTCACTGGGCAGGAGTTGCTTGGTCCAACTCTCCCTGATGTGCAGTGTGAGCCTTCTCAGGGCTCAGTGAGTCATTGTGAGCATTTCCTACTAAAGATCTTGCTGGCTCTAGACTATTTCTTGGCTGGTGGAACTCTCTCAAAGTCAGACCTATATTGAGTAACTAAACCCTTGGAGCCAGTGACACACACCCATAATTCTATTGCTTGGAAGGCTGCAATAGGAGATAGAAAGTTAAAGGCGAACACAGATACATAGTGAGACCCTTCGGAAAGTGTTGTTTTTATCTACGTTGTTCTATTTACCATTAAAGACCTGGGTGTCAGATTTTGAGGTGATCAGAGAATCCAAGAAGCAACCAGTTGACTTTCCTTTTGGGTCAGAGACCCAACAAGAGAGCATCTCTCCACCTGTCCCAAACCAAAAAAGCCTGTAATTTTCTAAGCCCCTCCCTATTCCTTCCTGTGGGCCTCACTATCCTTCTTCCTGGATCCTCTGTACTCTGTGTGACTAATTCTTGTCAACTAGTCGCTGGCTCTGCCCCCTGACCCAGTCTCAGAGTTTCACAGTGAGATCAAATATCCTGCAACAAGTTAGAGCTAGTGTCACGGTCTGGTGTGCAGGATTGTCTTTGTCCTGCTACAGACACTTTGTCCTCACTGAACTCTCATCCTGCACAGGTGAGACTCTCTTTCTCTGCTGGTGAACAAGTCCTTCCTGTTTTCAAAACGTCCCTGAATTCCTGGGAGGAATCACCGCTCCTGCGTCTTTCGTCTCCAACTGTGTTCTATATTTTTCATCCCCCGGCTTTAAGTGACTTTTGTGTCTGTAATGGTCTGAATACTTTAGGGACATCTGATTTACTTATTGGTATTTTTTCTTTTATTTGCCAAGTGTCTGAAATACAAAAAGATCATTTTATAAATGTTGGGTGATAGAAATAAACCCCCAAGTCGTAGAATAGCGTAAGGACAGGTTTGCTTCCTGTGACCATCTCAGTTGAGTCTGGAAGTGAAGCCAGTCTCCTCTGTGGCAAAGGACCATTTTTAGACTTTGTTTTTCTGTATCCACTTTCGTGCTGAGCTTGATTAAGATCCCTGAGTCCAGAGCTGGGGAGCAGAAAGGGCTTTCTTCACGTAAGTAAGGGCTGCTGTTAGTTCTGGGCACAGAGGTGCCCCTCTTTTACCTGTCACTCAGCCTTCTAGCTCTGAGAGCCTGGCTTTGGATACGAGGTCCTGCATGCTGACCCATTCAGGTCTTCGATGTTCTGTATCCTTAGAGACATGTACTGCTTCCAGCTGGGACCAGAGAGGCAACGTGGAGATGACTGGTTGCCGAGAAAGGCTTGACAGCCAGTGGGTCAGAGGTGGCTCCTGTGCAGGCCTGTCTTGAGGACATCCTGTACCAGTGCTGGCTTGCTGGGTTCTGAACACCAGCTGGCCTTGGGAAGGGGGGGGGAGGAGTGGCAGATCTGGTCCTCGGGGGCTGGAAGGCCCAGGAGACTAACCCTAAGGAGACTTCTGCTCCTTGTCACCACCTGGTGACCAGCACCAAGGGAGTAAAGAGCATGAGAGCTGTTTGCCTTGGGGGAAGAGGTAGGAGTGCTGTAGGTGTTGAAGCAGTAGATTGACTTTTAGTCATGGCTGAGGCTGGGGGAGGGGGGGGACTTCTTAGCCAGGTCCCAGTTGGATCTGCAGAGTTGGAGACTGTACAGACCACAGTGCCTCACGCCCCTTTCTTTGCTTCCCACTGTGTGAAGCATATTTATTATTGACTGTTGTTACGGCTGCATTATAGATGAAGAAACCAAGATGACATTTCCCAGGTCAAATGAAAGGGCAGAACCAGGATTCTTCCGAGTGCTTTCAATGGCTGGGCCACCTCCCGAGCCCACAACCAGCATTCTATCTCGGGCCTCGAGTCTACAAGGCATGTCCCTAAGCCTGGTTCTTGCTTTCAATGCTGGCACTTTGAAATCTGAGGCAACAGGATCATGGTGATTTCAAGGCCATCTTGGGCTACATAGTGTTTCTAAATAAGCCAGTAATAAACAAAGTAAGACCCAGGCTCTTAACTACACTACATTAACTGTACTCTCATAGAATGCCTGACTAGATACAAAGAACTTACTCCTAGGAGCCACTGGAGAGCCAGTTGTCACCAGGAATAAATCCATGTAGCTCCATGCCCCCACTTAACTTTTCCCAGAATTTCTGTAGTAAGGTCCTCATGGCAGTAAGGTCCCAAGCCAGTGTGCTCCTGGACTGTGGAACAGCTCTTCTGTCTTGATTTTCATGCCATTGTCAGTTTGGAAACAAACGGGCAGGCTGGTTGTCTTGCAGTGTGTCCTGCCATGGGTCTGTCTGACATTTTTTTCTTCTGAGCTGTGTGTGTTGAGCAGAACCCCCTCCGCCACCGTTGATAGGCGCTCATGGCTTCTCTTTTTCAGGTGGAACTTAGGCAAAACTTACAACATTGTGTTGGGATCCGGACAAGTCGTGCTAGGGATGGACATGGGTCTCAGAGAGATGTGTGTGGGAGAAAAGCGAACCGTGATCATTCCACCCCACCTGGGCTATGGAGAGGCTGGTGTAGGTGAGTGATGGTGTTCAGGAGTGCTGGGAATTCCCTATCGAAACTTTGGGCTTTTGGTGCCATAAATAGAGCTGTAGCATCCTGCTTCCATGTTAAAACTGGTGGGTTTTGTGTTTGTTTTTTCCTTTTTTAAAGTTTTGATCATTTTTGTTTAAAGACCCTTTGAGTTTGTTTAAAGACCCATGCCATTTGCCCCTAATCGCCTTGAGAAATATCAAGCTTTAAGAAAACACCACTGGTCTGCAGTTCATCTGCCAGGCCCCAGAGGAGGGCTGTGGGTGATTTGGGCCAGGCTGCCTGCTTCTTCAGAATGTTTTCTGGTCAGGTAGAGTGCGAAGGCCATTGCTGTTCACTGCTTTGTAGCCTGTAAGTCAAAGAGGATGCTGTATGCTAGTGATGGATTTCCAGTTCTGGAAAAGCCAGCCGCCGTATCTTTATAGTGGTGTCATTTTACTCTATTATTTCGTGATTCCAGAACATTTCTTTATGGTGTTTTTACACTGCTGACAGCTGGCACAGAAGGGTGCCAGTTTGTAAAAGTGATTGGCATACTGGGTTGATTTTCTTTTTTTTTTTTTTTTTCAAACAAACAAACAAAAAAACCATCCTGACCAGTGGAGGCACTCACCTTTAATCCTAGCACTGTTGAGGCAGAGACAGGCAGATCTCTGTGAATTTGAGGCCAGCCTGGCCTAAAAGTGAGTTCCAGGACAGACAGGGCTACATAGAGAAACCCTGTCTTGAAATCCCCCAAAAATCCACTTTAAAAAATATATCAAAATGTATCAAATTCTTCCCGTGCCTCTCACATATCCCAGAAGAAATGCTTCAAAAACATGTATGAGTTCTTCAAGACTTTTCTTATGATATATAATTATATTATGTACTAAATGTAACGTATAATATAATTTAGTGGAAAAGCTTATGCTTGGCATATATGAGGCCCTGGTTTTAATCTCTAACACCAAAAATAAAAAACAAATTTCAAAAATATAATCTCTAATTTTTAATAATGATAGTACTTATCTTTTAATGCATGCAGCACTACTTTTGAGCCTTACTGTTACATTGGCCTTGATTGTATCTAATTTGCAGGCTTTGTTATTGTCCTTACAGTTCTGCTCTTAAATTTATCCTAAAGCTCTTTAATTGAGGTTGGGAGTACATTTCAGTGACAGATGCTTGCTGCACATGTGCGAGGCCCTGGCTGGATCTCTGGCACCTCAGAGGAACAAAAGTTTCTACAACTGTTGCCCCTACCAATGGCTTTCAAATGTGTTGTTTTTACTAAAACATAAAGCAAGAAATGCTTTTTTCTATGGTTGCTACTGTTTGGTTTCCTGAAGTAACATTTTCCTATGTAGCCCAGGTTGGCCTCAGACTTTCAGTCTTCATACCCCCTAAATGCCGGGATTATAGGCATGGGCCAACACATGTGGCTTGAGAATTCTATTGTCTTTTGTCTTGTATTCTACATAAACTTGATTCATTTATATGTATGCATGTTTGTGTGGGTCATGTGTGTTTGTGAGTGCATATTTATGTGTGTGGAGCTAGAAGACAATTCTGAGTGTCTTTCCTTAAGTGCCATTCACCTTGTTTAAAACAGGGTGTCACACTGGCCTGGGACTTAAGGAAGCTAGAGTGGCCGAGCCTGTCTCTACCTCTCCCCGGCTTCCCCAGTGCTACCATGCCTGGCTTAATGTTTTATTTAACTTGTATTTGTTTATTTATTTATTCATTGTGTGTGTGTGTGCGCGTGTGTGCGTGTGTGTGTGTGTGTGCGCGCGCGCGTGCATGTATGTGGAGGTCAGAGGCCAAATTGTGGCATAAGTTTTCTCCTACCATGTTGGTCCTGGGAAATCTTATTCAGGTTTGATGGGAAACACCTTTTGCTGAGCCATTTTGCTTGCCCAGGCCTAACATGGGCAATGGAACTAAACTCAGGCTCTCTCTCCAGCCTCTACATTTAGTTTGCATATAAACGGAGACCCAGGTTTCATGAAATGACACATGTCATTCCTGTATGGTCATCCTTTAAGCTGATCTCATGGCTCTCTGAGAGGTCATTAGCTACAGGTGGGAATGGCTGCTAGAGCCTGGGGAGGGCAGCAGGGGTGGATGGTTCCTGACCTGTGCTTTAACGCCAAGTTCTCTTTTGTTGAATAGATGGAGAGGTGCCTGGCAGTGCCGTCCTTGTGTTTGACATTGAACTGCTGGAGCTTGTGTCTGGCCTTCCGGAGGGGTACATGTTCATATGGAATGGTGAAGTGTCTCCCAACCTCTTTGAAGAAATCGACAAGGATGGCAATGGGGAAGTCCTCCTGGAGGAGGTACATGGCCTTTGTGGGAGGAGGGTCAGAAGTTGGTCAGGGGCCTTCTGTGGGCAGGGGCCCATTCAGTGCGCTAGCCAGGAAGATCCCTTGTGATGCTCGTAACTAGCTCATGTGTGTACCAAGGGCTTTTACACACATTCTCACGTGCAGCAGCAGAGCCCCTGGGAGCTGTAGGGTTCCCAGATCTGGATTCAGTTCCCAGTCACTGGGCACTCACTGCTGGTCTGTCTGGACACATGTTCTCCAGCTCCATCCTCACAACAACCATGAGAGAGGCATGTTTGTGTTTTAGAACAATAGTTCTCAACCTGTAGGTCATGACCTCTACCGGGTCCCATATCAGTTATCCTGCATATCAGATACTTGCATCAGGATTCATTAACAGTAGCAAAATTGCAGGAATGAAGTCTCAACAAAATGATTTTATGGTTGGGGTCATCCCAACTTGAGGAACTGTTTTAAAGGGTCACACCATTATTAGGCAGGTTGAAAACCACTGTTTCAGAAGAACAAGAGGAGAAAGTAGTGGCCCATGGAAGGTTTCAGCTTCCCAGTGTTTGAGCCAGGACCATGGCTGAGCAGTAAACTTTTGTGCTATCATGGTGCATGGAGTTAGAGCTCATGGCTTACTCCACTCAAACACATGCTCATCTTCATTCTTTGTCCCTCTACACCATCAACTTTTCCTGGACCTGGAACATTCCTTGTTCCTTGTAGTATCACACATTTTTTTTCCCTTTTTTCTCCATTGTCCTTTGTGTTTGAGACATAGTATCAGTGTGTTGCCAAACCCTCACTCTTACAACTTGTGGTCTTCTTGTTTAGCCTCCAACCTGTTGGGGTAATAGGCAGACACCATCATGTCCAGCACAATTATTTTATATGGTGTGATATGTCTTTCCAGTTTTTTTTTCATTACTTTGCTCCTTTTACAGCAAAACCTCATAAGACCTGTATGTCCTACTTTCCTTTTATCTTTTGCTATAGTTTTTATCATTTGTTTCTTGTTTTATCATATGCATTTTTCTTTATTTGTTCTTTTGTTTTGAGATGATATTTTTCTCTGTAGCTGAGGCTGTCCTCGAACTCACGATCTTCCTGCCTCATTCTCCTGAGTGCTGGAAACACAGGTATGTACTATTGTGCCTGGCTTTATTTTGCTTTTATGAGATGGGTTCTTCCTCTTTTGCCCAGGCTAGCCATGGATTCCTGAGATTAAAAACAATCTTTCTTCCAAGTCCCTGGGACTTCAGCTTTCTACCGTGACCAGCTTTTCATTCTTTATTTTCGCTTTCTGTGTGTGGATGTTTTGCCTGTGTGTACGTGTGTACTGCATGCATACAGGCCACCGAGGGTGTTCGATCCCCTGGTGGGTGCTGGAAGTCAAACCCAGGCCCTCGGAAAGAGCAGCCAGTGCTGAGCCACCTCTCCTGCCTCATCCATTCTTTTTTAAAGTCATTCTTGTCAAGCCTTTGTACCTCCATGCCACTGATTCTGGTCCTGCCTCTTCAGCACCAGCTGCTGTGAACTCCTGCAGGACATTTGCTCCCATCATGCCTGCTTGTTGGCAGTTCCTTCTCAGACCTCTTCTCTGCTCTGACCGTGGGAGGTGTCAGGGTAGACCCTGGACTGTTCCTTATTCTTCCTGTTACCGTGTCCCTTGGCTTCATGTCCTCAAGTCTTCCACATTTGGAGCTTTAGCCCCAGCTTACCTCCCCGCTTTGCATTCATATATCCAACTACTTGTTCTGAACCTTGATCCTTGTCCTAACCCCACCTTAAGCCTGCCTCACCATGAGCTTCTCCATGACAGTCAGGCACAGCTCCTTCCTTCTCAGAACGGCAGAGGCCCATCTCTAAGGACCTTTCTATGGCTGCCAGGGCCCTCTCCATCTGCTGGCTGCCACCTCTTCACCATTGACTCTCTTTGCTTGTGTGGTCCAGCACATGTTCTCGGAACCCACCAGGCAGGCTTCCTCCCTGGGCCTCGGAACCAACCTCTCTCTCTGCTTGGAACAGACATTCATGGCAGACAACTGTTAGGATCGTTCCCTGACTCTCTTACATCTTTGCACAGGTCTCCGTGACCTCAGCACTTCTTCCCTGTCCCTCAAATTTACTGCTTCAATTTGCTCTCCCTACTTAACCTTACCTTGCTTCCTCTCCCCATCCTCTCTTTAGTGGAACATCCCACTTTACAACTCAAAGCATCAATTGCTTATTATATTCATGTAGAATAACTTTATTACAAGGGCAGTTTTGTTTGTGTCATACCCCGTGAATTGCTGGCAGGCTTTGATTGTGAATGAATGTGTGGATGCAACACTTTTTGGAGGGGTCAGTCTCAGGTGGGAAGCTAAAACTGTTCCGTTGGCTGAAGCTTATTGGATACCTGCATCCTAGGGACTCCAGGTCCTTTAGTTAAGGGACTTAAAAACATTTAAACGCTATTCTTATTTTTAAAATTATGTGTGTTTGTGTGTGTGTGAATATGTGCATGGGGCTGGAGTTACAGGTGGTTGTGACCTACCTATCATGAGTGCTGAGAAGCAAGTGCTCTTAAGTGCTGAGCCACCTGCATCTCCAGAAAGAATCCCAGGGCATGTAGTTCTCGAGCACAACTTGGTTTGGAAGCACGGTCTCCTCACTTTCATGCAGCCATTTTTCACATTGGTCCTGTCTTCTTCCCAGTTCTCAGAGTACATCCACGCACAGGTGGCAACAGGCAAAGGCAAGCTGGCTCCCGGTTTTAACGCTGAAATGATCGTGAAGAACATGTTCACCAACCAGGACCGGAACGGAGATGGGAAGGTCACGGCTGAGGAATTTAAGCTCAAGGATCAGGAAGCCAAGCATGACGAACTGTAAGCCTCACACGAACGAACCAGTTTGTGCCAAGGAGAGCATGACACCAAGTGACCTCTCATGGCAGAGCATGCTGTCAAGGTGGGAAGGTTTCTAGGAAGGCATGACATTAGCAAGTAGTAGGTGGGCCATGTAGTACCTGGTGCATACATTGGGGTGGGTTGATGTCCATGGTGAGATCTTGGCTGGATTTCTAGGGATAGTACATAGAATCTGTGCAGAGGGCCTTGGTGTGGGAAAGTCTGCACGGCCAAACTGTATTTATGAGTCTTCTGGGAAGTTGTGATACTAAAGGAACATGATTTCATAGAAGACAAGGCTGTCATACAGGAAACAGGAGTAGTACCAGGTATCTACCTAAAGAGATTGATTTTTTTTTTTAATCTTGCTGGTGTCCTAAAAACTGTTCACTATGTGGGCAGAAAGACAGAGCATGAATGCTCCAGAAAGATTGCATGACAGCAGCCAGTGTGCTCTTCTTGGTGCCCTGCATAAGCTCTGGTGATAGGAGGCGCTGTGCACCATCCCCTGTAACTCCCCTAAAGTCCCCGTCCCACACTTTTCCAGTTCGCTCCCTACACCGGCCGCCCTCCCATTGGTAGTGTAACGCCAAGGTTAACAGGAGCTTCCTGGGCAGGAAAAACCACGAACAAACGGGAGTAGAGGGTTTGGCCTGCATTTGCTCTGGAGGATCATGTGCTTGGCTCTTCCTATCTTCCAGACGTTGTCCTGTAGAGCTCTCTCTCCACTCTGCCTTCCTTCTGTTAGATAGATACATGTAAGGCTGATAGCTAGTCTCACTGGTCAGCCAACAGAAAATTTTACTGTGACTAAAGTGGATGTGACATTTTTCTGCCACTCATTTGTGTCTTGGAGGGCAATGTGGGGTCTCCTGCTGGAGAAAAGCAATAACATTATTCAGGCCAGCCCATTCCTGTACCATGTGGTAGCCATGTTCCTGCCTTATGTCCTGTTCCCAAGTGGTGTTGGCACTTAGCCTGAAGTAATCAAGGTGTTTCCTTTTGAAATGGCTTTTTTTTTTTTTTTTTAAAATCCTTAAACTGTTTTGTACTGATGTTGCCCTGAGATGTTCATGCAAATGCTGTGCACTTGTTCAATGGAATTAATGTTGGAAACCTGACCTTCTTTTTCTGATATAAAATGTTGAATCATATCATCTGACTTTGTGGTGTTTTATTTGGAAACGGAGAGGATTTAATGAGAGTGCAGTGTGTGGTCAGCCCAACTCCCTTGACAGGACAGCACTGTAATCTTTACAGAGCACTCACTCTATGGGACACTGGGGCATTCATAGGGAGGGGATGATTCCTGGGAGGAAACACACCAGATAAGCTACTTGAAAGGACAATTTACAGTGTGGGTAGGGCTCAGGGGAGCAGAGAACAGCGAGATACTGTGGAGATGCAGTTGCTTAGCAACAGCTGGAGGCTGTTGCCACTCCTGGGCCTGGAGGTTAAGGTGAATAGGCTGGAGCAGAGCTGCCTGAATTTATGTGTTGAGTCACACAGCCTGGCTGGCACTGCAGGCAGGGGATGAATGAGAGACACCATCTCTCTCACCCGCCTGTTGGGTGCCTGCCATTGGCTCCCATCAGGTGAACCACAACCCAAGCCAGGAAGAAAGGACCTCAGGGGTTGGGTCTCTCAAAGGTTGGCCTTGTGGGGTGGGCAATTTGTGAAGAATGAAGTTTGGGGAGGTGACTCAGATGGTGAAGTTCTCGCCTTGCAAGCATGGGAACCTGAGTTTGATCCCCAGAACCCACCTGGGGGTGGGGGGAGAGGTGCTCATGGTCCCAGTGCTGAGGTGAGGCAGAGCTGTCTGGAGTTTGGAGCCATCCTGCGTTACAGAGTGGGTAGTAGCAGGCCAGTGGAGGTCACATAGAGAGACCCCCTCTAACCCATCTAGAGAGAGAAGGGGGTGGCTTTATTAGCTGGCCTGTCTGAAGGACTATAACCCTAAGTACTCACTGGCTCTTGCACTATCCACTCCTTTACTATCTTAGGTGTCCAGGAACATGGATTTACTCTAAAGTGTTATGTCATCCCCCCCCCACCCCCTGGCTTTCCTAAGGAACTTGAGTCCTTTTATTTAGTAAGGAGGGTTCACTCAGTCTCAGAATCATTTTTAGCTTACATTGGGCATATTTAAAATGCTGCTTGAGTTTGGATTTTTTTTTTTTAATTTTTTTTTGAGACTGGGATCTTATGTCTCTAGTCTATTATCAAGCTCTTGTCCTGAAGTGATTCTTCTACTCCTGCTTCCAGAACAGTTGGGACAGCAGATACCTCCCATCACAGTTGGCTTAGCTTGGATTTTATTTGCTTATTGAAATTTAGGAGTCTCTAGCCTAGGCCGGTTTTCAATATCTCATGCAGCTGAAGGCTGGGATTACAGGTGTGTGTCATCACATGCAGTTTATGCAATGTGGCATATTGAACCCTGAGTGTCTCATTAACTCCCCAAGTGCTGGATTATAGTATGAGCCATCACATCTTGTTTGGTGGAATCAATCCCCCCCTTCCCTCTCCCTACCATGCCTACATTCCCCCTCCCCCACCAAGGATGGCGAGGCCTTCCATGGGAGAATCTAATAATGTAAATCTTTACTGATGATTCTTTTTAGAATTTCACGTCATACACTACAATCCCACTTACCTCCGAGTCCCTCCATACCCTCTCCTCACCCCTGTAGCATCCTCCCTAAATCAATTAAAAACAAAACAAAACACCCCATCTTGATCCTCCGTCTCTCTAACATTCACCATAGTGGTATTGGGTCCTGCGGTGTGTCATGCAGTATACCCTTTTGTTCAATCAGCCCCACCCACACAATATTCATTGTAGTGAGTCATTGCTCTGGGTCAAGGCCTCTGATACAGCATCATCACTGGCCACTCAGTGAAACTGCTTGGATATCCTGCTGCTGCCCTGAGTCATGGAGATCCTGTGGTTATGGTTCCAAAGGACCAGTCCCTTCATGCACTCCAGCGGGCCATGATGGGGAAGATGTTACCATGAGAGTTCAGGTCCATTTCCATTTCAAATGCTTCTGTGATCCTATTCCACTCGCAGGGCTCTTTAGCCCATTTCTCCAGCAATCTGAACTTCATAAGACTGACTTCCTATTGCATTTATTACTGTCTTCTTTGAGTTGCTTGAAGTAGTTATAATCATCCTCAATTCTTAGTCTGGGATTCCCAGGTCATTTTCATTAGGGGTTATTATTATGGGATTTGTATTTTTTGGAGTTAAATGTGTCTTGTGTATGCATGTGTTATTTCTTCATTAAGAATTGTGCACCTGAAGCTATGTTTGATGGTTGAGTTTTTCCTTTCTTTTTTGTTCAAGTCACCTTCTTTCAACAGAGGTGTATTCAGTATTTGGTAACATGGTTAGGCTTCTGATTTCCTATTTGGTATTCAGGGCTACCCGGTCCCAGGTCCTCTGCTGGTCATCTAGTCAAATGCCTGCAGTGGCTAGGCCAAGGAGTTTGAAAAAAGTTTTGCTGGACAGTGTGGACTGGGCATGGGCCTCAAGCCTGGATAGGACAATTGGAGGGTCCCATTTATACAGTGGGCAGGGCTCTAAAGAATCTAAGAGGGAGGAGACTGGGCCTCAAGACCACAGTAGGTGGCTGGAGAGTTGCTGGTGGATAATGGGCTGGGATGTGGCTAAGTCCCAAAGGGAGTGAGAGAGGCTGGGGGGTGGGGTGGTAGAGATAAAGGTCCTTAGCAAGCAGCTGAGGGCTTGGGCAACCTCAGTGGAGGATGGTGCAGAAGAAGACTACACTGCTCTTCACAATGAATGGCCAGACCATTCTTGGTGATGACAAGCAAACCACTTAGCTGTTCCTCAGGGTCTGAAGTTCAAATGTATCACAGTGGGAACTAAATCTTCTGGAATGGAGCCTGGAGAAGGCCCCAACTTTGCATTACTTAGTCACCCCCCCCCAGGGGCACAGTGTGATGGTCTGATGAGATGTCTTGGTCATTTGAACAGTTGGTTCCCCAGATGGTGGAGCTGTGTGGGGAGACTCATGAGGTGTGGCCTTGGGGGAAGTGTAGCCCTTGGATGGTTTTGAGAGTGCAAAGACTCCAGCCATTGCTGGCATGTTCCCTTAGCTGTGTGCTTGCTGCCTCTGCTTCCTCATCATGACATGAAGCCTAACTCCCCGGAACTGTAAAAGCCCAAATGCATGCTCTCTTTTCTATGTGGACTTGGCTGCCATGTTTCATCACAGCAATAGAAAACTAACTAATACATTCAGCTAGACTTTGTTTATGAAACTTTTTACAAGGAAATTTTTTTTTGTGTTCAATAAAAGAAAAGAATTTTCATGGCCCTTAGTATTTTTGAAGGACAAGTTAAATGTTTCCAGCAAAAGTTTTTTTATGCTTAGACTTAAGATTATTTGGAAAGTAGGCTTTATGTAAATATCCACTACAAAAGACAGATTAGGATTTGTGTATCACGGATGAAGAAAGAAACCAAGAAGAAAAAAACATGGCAGTGCTCAATAAATATAAATATTTGCTGAATAAATTGTTTTTCTTCCTTGGTCTCATGTAGTCAAGGCTGATCTAACTTAAGACTGACCTTAAATTCTTAATTCTCCTGCCTCTACTTTCCATTTGCCAGGATTACAGACAGATGCCGCTGTAACAGGTTAAATATTATCTCAACAGCAGAGTTTACAAAAGCTTTCCATTTTAGGTTTATTTTTAGGGTTTCACACAGAAAATTTGTAATGTTAGTGGTAGACACCAACAGTTTTTCAGATACAAAGTGCCGGACTTCTCTGGCAAATACTTTTTTCAGCAAAATAACCAAATAAAACACAATTTCAGGAAATGCCATCACACTCCACCCAAATTACAAAACTGGTTACAATCAGAGACACTCTCACCTGAGACAGTGGCCTCTGAGCCTCCGCACTCACCTGGTGAAGTGTTCAGAAACAGCAGAACACCAAACTACAAAATTCACTTGGAAAAGGAGTTCATTGTCTAATTTTGCCTTAATATTGTTTTTAATTGCTTAAACAATGTGCAGTATCCTGATGGAGGCAGGAAGAAGGGCTGCAGTTATAGGTCCAACACACCTGGAGATCAGAGGATGCCCATAGGAAGCGAAAAGGGAAATCCAAGAGCAAGAATGTATTATAAATAAGAGTCTTTCCTCAAGATGGCCGGTGCTTGTATCAGCTGGACCTGTGGGAGATGTCTTCTCGCAAACAGTTTGTTTACAATGTCTTTTGTAAAATTGAGTTGACGACCTCCAATGATTCTTCTTTTACTAGAACAATATCATAAGAGTCCTTGTATTTTTCTAAAAGGTCATCTACCTAATCAACAGAAGACCAAAAATAAAATTAACATGCAGAGAAAGAAAGGCAAATAATTTCCACCTTAAGTTCATAATGTTAGATCTGTGAATATTAATGAAATTTCTAACAGTTTTGAAATATAAACATCCTTAAATTCTTTTTAAAGGAAATAATTTTGTTTCTGATTAAGATTTTAGTTTTCTGAGACAGGGTCTTTCTGTGTAAGTTTACCCTGGCCTTCAACTTTGAGTGGTCCTGCCTCAGCCTCCTGATCGCAGGCACAATAGGCCTGTATCACTGTGGCTAGTTTATCCTCAGACTTAGACTCAGGGACAAGAAGTTTCCACATGGGAACGTTTCTCCTAAATAGTTTCTTTCCACTCCACTGGCTGACTTTGGGCAACTTCGTACAAGCCACATTTGGCAATGTATGGAGCCATTTCTGGTACTCATGACTAGGGAGTGCTGCCTACTGACTCTCCTCACATCACACAGGCCTGTGCTTCGTATCTCCTCTAATTACTGCCAAAGTAGGATAGTAAAAAATAACTTTCTAACATGCCTTTGGCAATTAATTATGTTTCATCTTAAATTTTTTAAAAAAGAAAATTAAACTACAGCATTGCACACTCACTCTGTCATTCAGATACCCAATTTTCAGAATGTGTTCAACGTTGGCTACGCCATCTGCCATCCTCAAGTCTCCTTGGGAGTCCCCCAGCAGAATGATGTTGCTGTTGTCTTTCAGTTGGCTGAAATAGTCTGTATTCTTCAAGGCACCATCATGTTTGTTGAATACATGAATTAGTTCTCCTTTGAATCCTTTCAACACTCCCTATCAAAAATATTTTAAATAACAGCTTAAGGACAACTTTGTTGTACTTATCACGGTATGTACATGTATGCAGGCGCATGTAGCAATGAATATTTAGGGGGTGGGGAGGACGACTTTCAGGGGCTGGCCCTCTCCTACCCTGTGCATCTGGGGACTAAAATCAGTTGTCAGGCTTGGTGGGAAGCACCTTAATGTACTGAGCTGTCTCTCTGGCTTGAAATAATGGGTTTTACAAGTTCTACTTGTTAGATCTTTTACATTTTATGATTCTAAATAGATGCTACTATTTAACACATCTTTAAATTCGCCTTTGACTTCATTTCAAAACACAGAAGTCTTGTGACACACACTTGTGACAGACAGGAAGGGCTCCAAAAAAACCCAGCATATTCTTTAAAGTTCAGCTAATCAAGAATTCAACTCTGACTTTTCATTTTGTTCCTAGCCAAAGGTTTCTATTTTATGTTTTGTACTGCTTTGTTTTTTATTTTGCTTGAGACTATGTAGCCAGGCTTTGGACTCATGACCCTAACCTCAGCCCTCTGAATGCTGGGATGACATCATTTTCCAATAAGCCCAGAACATTTTACAGCACAGTCATTCAGAAAATGCCAGTATTATTCATCTTTTTTCCACTTAAGAGGTAGTCTTCAGGGTTGCACCTGATTTATTGTCATGTAATTTTGAGAACTTTAATATTAACTTATTAATAAAACTTTAAGAAGGGCATAAAATATACATACAACACTGAGAACGCAAATGAATGAACCGTATTGGTAGCCTATCAGCATTATCTAATTTAATGAATGTCTACCTGATATTAATAAAGAACAAATGAGTTTACACAATTAAAATATTTCAGGTTGGATATTAGCCTTAAGGAATGATTTCACATTCTTACATTTTCATCAAAATCCATGAAGTTGGATACTACTTTGACATTTGAATGATAAACTCCAGCCTGACGGATGACTTCTTCAAGCACGTCACCGATACCAGCGGAAAATATGAACACAGGGATACTGTGCTGTTGAAGTTTACCAAAGAAACTCTCATATCCTTCCCTGTGAGTGGAGACAGAATGTAAATGAGCAAGATTTCTTTCTTTTTATTTAGAAAAATCTCTACCTATTTCTACAAATCATATTCTCACTTCAAAACAATGACCACGGCAGTAGTTGACTCCTTATCCTGCTATTAGTTCTAACAGTACAAGGTAGATGTCTTTAAACTTACAGCAAGCATGGATAAAAGGCTACAATTTACACCATTTAAAAGCAAGGGGTGAAATTACACTGTGGAAAGCCCACTGGGATGAGCTCGAAGGCCTCCTGCCTGAGGTGCTGCTGCTGTGGCCTTCATACCTCCAGAAGAGCAGAGCACGGGCTGAGCTGTGTTCTTTCACCTGCCATTTATGTTAGTGCAGAAAACAATGGCTTCCTACGTACGCATCACTAAATCTTGCTCACTCATCCCCTCTACGCTTCCTTTTCTCTGACGACGTCTCCTTTCACCAAACAGTCCACCCACTAATGTCAGACACGTTTAGGTGAAAGCACATCTGCAGGATTTTGTCCCCCTCCCCCTCCCGTCTCTTGTTCTTTCCTTTCCCTGCATTCATTCCTCTCCTTCCCCATACCTCTATGTTCATATCAAATGTGTCTTATATGTAAATACACATTTATACTTGAGGCTACATCCTGAATGTGACAGTATTTGTCTGAGCCTGGCTTATTTCTCTTAACAGGGTTATCTTCAATTCCATCCATTTTCCAAAAAAAAAAAAGAAATAATCTCATTCTTGTTCATAAAAACCTTATATTCTACTGTTCCTTTTCACTCTTTATCAGCTACAGGTTCCATTCAAATCTTGGTACTTATGATTGAGACACTCAACTGTTCTTACATTTGAATCTTTCCTTTTTTTAAACACAATTACTTTATCATCCCAGGGGAAAAGTGACCTGGGGTAGTTTAGTGGCAGAGCAACTGCCCAACATGTGGGAGGCCCCAAGTTTAATCCCCAGCACAGAGGGAAGGAGAAATAACATCACCATGTTTGCCAAACAAGTTGAAAAAATTTAAGGTTGGTAAGAAGTACTGAAAGTAAATTTGATGATTTTCACACAATTAGAACCCACACACTACAAATGTGTGTGTGTTTGTGTGTGTATGGTGTGCAGTACTTGCTAAGCGGACCAAGTTGGCCTTCAGCTGGCTGTGATCCCCCACCTCCGCCTCCTGAAAGCTATAATGACAGATTTCAACACCATGCTGCGCCTTGCAAATTCTTTACCTGTAACTAAACATTTTCCTTCCCTGTAAAGTTTCAAACCCAAGAATTCCGAAGGTAGATTCATGTACATTTAGAAACAATTCTTAGTTGAAATCTTTCCAGCTTATAAATATTTCCTTTACATTTCAGATCTCTTAGAACTGATTTCCTAAAGAATTTGAAAATGATAATGGTAACATGTCTACATTATTCTTAAAATTTTATAAAATTGTGGAGAAAGGAAACAGAATAACTTAAATCTTTCCATGTTCTTAACAAATCTAAATGAAAAAAGTTTTTTTTGGTTTGTTTTAGATAGGGTTTCATGCATCTCAAGCTGGCCTCTATTTCCCAAGTGCTGGAACTACAGACATGTGTTGTCATGTCCATGTTTTTTTCTTTTTTTCTTTTTTAATGTTTTAAAGTTTTATTTTATTTGTGTGGGTATTTTGCCTGCATGTATCTCTGTATAGCACGTGTACTTCTAGTGTTCATGGAGGCCAGAAAAGGGTGTTGGATCCCCTGGAACTGGGGTTACAGATGGCTGTGAGCTCCCATGTGGGTGCTGGGAATCAAACTCGGGTCCTCTGGAAGAGGAACATGTGCTCTTTCCGGCCTAGCCACCCCTCCAGCCCCTTACCATGTCAGTTTTATTGAGTGCTCGGACCAAACAAAGAGCCGCGGGTGTGCTAGACAAGCATTCTGCTGAGCTATGCCCCAAACTCTAACGGCTCTAACCTAGAATGTTTTTCTTATCTCCCCACAATTCACTACTATGGAGTAATGTGATAGCTTATTTTAATTAAAATACATTACTAAATATATACAGCACCAGTTAATTATGTAGACAATAAAAGCAACGAAATCCGGGAGACTTACTTGAGCATCACTTCAGAGTCTGCCACAATCTCTTTAAGTTTGGCTTTTGGTATGCCTTGTTCAACAAGCAAGCCATGTGACTTAGTATACCTGGAGATTATGACCGGAGAGGAGAGATAACAGTGAAAATACTGAAACTATTATCTTTATTGAAAGCACTGCTGAGTGTGAGATCATGGCTGCTGGTCCTCACTATGTGGACTTAATTAAGTCTTTGACATTGAGGAGCTTAAGATCTGTGATGGAGTTCTCCCCATATGTCCCAGATGTCCCAAAGGCAGGCTCCCTGTGAGCATGTCAGTGAGGGCAACACAGAGACACTGTGAGCCTTTCCTCAGTCTACAGGTAAGATCCAATCTAACCTGGGCTGACAAGCCCCTTTCCCCTTTCTGAAATAAGGTAAGCACTCCTTTTTACCTGGTGCAGTTTAAACTACGCTGGCTCCTTCCTTTGCCAGCTTCCACCTTAATACTAGAAAGCCCTTACAGGCCTGCCCTCACTGTGCAAGCTTGAAACCACCCCTCCCTCTGCCTCAGTAAATTCTGGGATTACAGGTGTGCACACCAGGTTGCTTCAGGGACGGGAGCTTACCCCACCCCCAGGTACCCCTAACTGCAAACAGGCCTTTCTCCATCCGGAAATCAATCCTTTTACATTTTCCAAACCGAGCTCCAGGTTTGACTGTAGGTAGGTAGAGAAGGCCTCTTTTCAACATTTACTGCCACCCACAGGTGACCTGACAGCTACTGGGAATATTCCTGGCCCTTAAATTTTTAAAGCTGTCGTTGCTGCTCAAATCAAAGCACTTTCCACTTCCTGGGATGCTTCTCAGAGGACTGGTGGGCGGACTCCTCTGCCAAGGTCTGTCTTGTCCTGGAGCTGCACACGCCAGAGGCTGGGGCTCCATGTTGGGGCGGGTGTGGGGTGGACCCTACTTCTTATTCTTTCTTCTCAGATCATGTCTCATCTGATAAGCTTTAAAATAAAGATCTGGCTTTGGGACTTACGTGCCAGACTTTTTATTTACTCTCACTGCATGCCATCTTGAGACAAATCACAAGCTGTTAACTGACCATGGTGACTAAGTCTTTCTGTTCCGTTATCTGTATGTCCATCTGTAAACATGAAGGGGGAAAACAAGCCACAGCTTTTAACTGGGCCTGTATCCTTAGCACCTGAGGCCTCCCACCGCTCCAGATGCACTCACCACTCTACCATGTGAGGGAGTTTCTCCTCCACAGTGAGGCGAGGATCAACTTCAATAGCGTAATACTTCTCCTTTAGCTGCAGTAACTAGAAGGAAGGAGTAACTTAGTCGTGAGGATTATACAGTTTTGTCACTTACCTGATTATTACAGAAAACAATGCAAGCAAGAAAAAACAATGAGGGCCTTTAAGCTACATTTCAGTAAAGATTAAAATTGGAGATGGTTTGATCTTGGGTTTGCATATGTTTAGATACAACTGCAGAAGCCTGCTTACTTCCAAGTCAGCAATTCAGAATCCCATTAAAAAAACGGGAGGTTTATTTTCAGCTTTGCTCCGTTAGTGCTGTGGTACCAGGGACTGAATGTAAGCTCCCCTATGTTGGGGAAGTGATCTCGATGACCTCCCACTGAGCTATGGCCCAGCCCTAGTTTTACTTTCTATTTTGGTCCAGGTTCTTTGCTAAGTTACCCAGGTGACTTTGAACCTTCAAATCCTTCTGCCTCAGCCTAAGTAGTAGGATTACAAACCCGAATCGCCAGACCTGACAAGTTTAGTCCTGAAATCAAAGTAATTAACTTTGATGGGTACCCTGAGCTGCCCTGTTAAGCAGGAACACTCTGATCAGTTTAAGGGGCAAATTAGAATGAGACTCAAGCCCCTTTGCCTCCCTAGGCCAGAGTGTTGGAATAACAACTTCTAACACTGGCTGTGCTGGCAATGGTTGCACACTAATCCTAGTGCTTGGGAGGTCAAGGAAAGAGGAACAGAATGTTTTCTTCAGCTAGCTGGTGAGTTCAAGCTAAGAGATACCCTGTCTTGAAGGCGGAAAAAAAGCCTAGATGGAATACATACAATAAACAGAGTATTTACTGAATGCTTACTATGTACCAAACGTGACTACAGTCCCTTGCCATTCACTTCACTTCTTTTGGGGGTTGGAGCCTGGGTTGGCCCTAAACTTGAAATCATCTCCCCTCAGGACTCTAGTCTGGGATTATAAATGTATGTCATTATGCCTAGCTTTTGACATTCGTTACTGTCTAAATAAAACTAATCAGCCGAGGCAATGAAGGGTTAACTGTGCAAAATGACTTGATATTTACCTTTCTTCGACATTCATCTGTGACTAGTTTACAGTTGTCAATGACATCTAGAGAGAGTGGGAGAGAGAACACAGCACAGGCATTAAAGAAAACATTCTGGTTTATGCTACCACTAATAAAGATAAGTTGCTTCTTTTATTTTTAAAAGCCAAGTCAATTCCTGTGGCTATTGCAATTTTTGGTAATTCAAATGGCATTGCTACAGGAGGTAATGGTTTCAAAATCTGAGATTTAGTAAATCTTCACATACAGCACTTTGATAGTTCAAGATCCTCAAACAATTGTGTATTTCCATTCTCAGCTTCCTTTGTAATAAACAGAGGCAATAAATACATCTAGAAGTATATCATTTTCCTTTTCTTTCTGTTTGCAGACAGGGCATGCTAGTTAGTTTTTGTTAAACTACAGTCACCTGGGAAGAGGGAACATCAACTGAGGAATTGCATCCAACAGACCAGCCTGTGGCCATGTCTGTGGGGCATTCTGCTTGATCAATAATTGATTTGAAAAGGCTTAGCCACTGTGGGTGAGCCTACCCAACAATGCGGTCTTGCATAGTATAAGACGGTAAGCTAAGCAGCCAGGAAGCCTTTATGGTTTCTGCTTTGGATTCCCTTAGTGATGGATGGTGACCTGAAAGCCGAATACACCCGTTCTTTCCCCACACTGGTTTTGGTCTGTTTTATAGACATAAGGTCTCACAAAGCCCAGGCTGGTTCTGGATTCTGGATTCTTTTGCCACCACTGCCACACTACTGGGATTACAGGCATGAACTGTCTATAGCCGGTTTATGCTGTTTTAGAGAAGGAATCCAGGGCCTCAGCTCGTAAGGCCACCATCATACTGAGGATATCCCCAGCTACAAAGAACACCATGTTCTTAATGACAATACTTCATGTAAAATATTTCCTCTCTGAGTTTTATTTATTACTAATGAATTAGGTAATATAAGATCAAGTCAAATATATGGTTTTGAGTTCTTTCCATTTCATGAGATGCTCTGTATTTTTCATAGAATTAAAGCTCCATAAGTACCACTCACAATGGTTGGGCAATCTCTAGTATGCAGTGGAACAGAATTTAGGCTATTTTTCTAGTGTTAAATTGTTTTTTAGTTGCCTTCCAAGCTGCTGTCATTATAGATTATTTCAATCCGAATGGTCAGCATGAAATCAGTGTCAGAGCTTTATACATGCTAGGCCGGTGCCCTACTATGGAGCTACATCCTTAACCCAGAGCATGCCTGCTGGTTTTCTGTCAACTCCAATACAAGCCAGGGTCACCTGGGAAAAAGGAACCACAGTTGAGAAAATGCCTCCATAAGACTGGGCTGTGGGCAAGTCTGTGGGCATTTCTTGATTGATAGTTGGTTTGGAAAGGGGATGCTCACTGTGGGTGGTTCCATCCCTGGCTGTGTAGGAAAGCAGGCTGAGACAGCATTAAAACAGCAAGCTAGCAAACTACATTCCTCCATAGTCTCTGGCTGAGTCCTTGCCTCTGGTTCCTGCATGAGCTGCTGTCTTGGCTTCCCTCTACATTGGGCTGCAACTGCAAGGAAAACAAACCCTTTGCTCCCCATGGTGCTTTTGGTCATAGTGTTCTAATAGCAATAGAAACCTAACTTTTTTAGGTTACTGCAAAGTTTAAAACCTTTTCAACAGTGAGAAGAATTTTTAAGTCTTCATCCATTCCCTTTACTTCCAAAAGCATACATAAAAATAGCCATTCACCTAAGATAAAAACAATTCCTCAAAACAAAGCAAGTTCTTTCACTTTTAACATGAAAAAGAGAAAGCAAAAACAACAACAACAAAACCCAGTCATCTCACTGAGAAGTACTGACAATTACATTCATTTACTTAAGAGTATCACACTTACTATGACACGTTGGGCATCTTTTCCCATTGAAGGAAAACCTACTTAGTGTCATATCAAAGTCTGTTATTATCTGTGAGAAAAGGGAGAAGACAAAATGTAAATAGCCCATCACAATCATAAGCTCACTATGCTAACCAAATATACCTCCTGGAGCCTTTCCATTGAGGTTCCTGGGAAGTCCCTCATCTAACGCTACAAAACACTGATTTGAGTGATTTTTTTTTTTAAATTAAAGATTGTGTGTGTGTGTGTGTGTGTGTGTGTGTAAGCATACCATGCCCTGCTTGGTGTGTGTGTGTAGAGGACATCTTCCATCTTGCGGAGGTGGGTGGGGGTCTCACTTGTTTCTCTGGCCCTGTTCTGGGTACCACTTAAAGAGATAACTTCTTCAGTTCCTTCACATTTAGTGTGGACTTCTCTACTTTCTGGGATGATACGTGCCCATGATCTTGGGAGCTGGAGGCAAACAAAAATCCAGTAAACAATAGCAAACCATTAAAGATCCCAGACCATCAGTGAGAAAGAAACGTGTGAAACTCAACTATGTCTGCATACGGTTACATTTTAATTTGACAATGACTAAGTTAATTAAAACATAGAATAACTTGAAACTGTATTCTTTTAACTATGACTCCTGAAATGGTTTTAACACTAAAAAATGACCCAAGTGAGAGGTCTGGCAGAACAATAGGAGAATTAGTGATTAGCAGGGCAAGGTCTTGGGTTTAATCTCCAGCTTGTTGGATCATGGCCTATGTGTTGACTCTATCTCAAGGTTTTTCTTTTCTTTTCTTTTTTTGTTTTCAAAAGAGTATTCCATGTATTTAGACCAATTCTAGATAAGAGATTTTAGATTTTTTACACTCTCAAAATACAGGCAAAACAACCTCCCCCAAACAAAAAACCCATTGTTAAGGTTTTGTCAGAACAGAATATTAATAAATTTTCTAGGCTTTATTCAAGTCCTGCCGTACTCCATCACTAACACCAGACAGGAGAGTGTGCTTCAACTTTTCAACTGGCTTCAATTTTTATACAATATACTTTGGTCATGATCTTCCCCCTCCTCAACTCTCCCTAGACCCTTCTCTCTTAACAAAGAATCAGTTCAAAGAAACTAAAAAGGCAAAAAAAAAAAAAAAAAAAAAAATACCAAACCCCACCTGAATGTGCAGTCTGTCTTGTGTTGTCTACTACTCCTGGGTGGGGCTGGCTGTCCTGGAGTGTGGCTGACCCAGAATCTTCCTCTGGGGACACTTGCCTCTCCCTCTCCCAGAAGCTGTCATTGAGAATCTGCTTCAACGTTTTTAAAAAGTTCAAATCACCTGAAGTTTGGCAGCTCCTCCTTTAATGAGACCACAGATAATTTCTTCTACTCTTGTAGGGTTTTTGATGTGGACTGAGCTTTTCTGAAATTCTGGCATCTGAAAAGCGAATAGAAATAAATTACTTTCCCCAGTTTACTCGCTACCAAGATGCTTGTATTATTACAAAGTATAAAAATGCTGAGGCACTATTTTAAAAAAGAAAGGCACCATATAAAATTGCCGTTTATATATCTGAAAGATTTAAAACATACAACTAGTTTCCATCTAGAAAATGAAGATTAAAAAAAAAAAAAAAAAAAAAAAAAGAAAATGAAGATAAAATTACATAGTGTGGAGGAACAAACTGGTAATGCCAGCAGCTGGGTTGCTGAGGGAGGAGGATCTTATGTTTAAGGACAGTTAGTTGGGAGTACAAAACAAGAGCTCACCTTATACAAAGAAACCTAACAAAAGAAAAACTTTATTAGAAAGTATAATTTTCTTATATAACTAAACAGGTAATGAGCTTCCCAGAATTTATAGGACATAAAAAACTGCTTGTCATTAATCAAAACAGAATCCTAGAGAATATTTAAATTTTGTGATAGACTTATTTCTTTTAAGGAACTTTCTGCTTAAGATTTAATTTGTGTATGGTGTTGGCCACCTTTAACTCCACCACTTGGGAGGCATAAGCAGATAGATCTCTGAGTTCAAGGCTAGTGTGGTCTACATAGCTGTTTTAGGCCAGCCAGGGCCACAATCTGTCTTGGAAAACAAGACAAAACAAAACAAACAAACAAAATCAACAAAAATCACACAATAGGGCACTTCCTATAGTCTTACCTACTCAGCAGGACACTTGAGCCCAGAAGTTTGAGGCCAACCTTGACAACATAAATTGGTCTGTTTTAAAAATGAATTAAAACTTAAAAAGAAAGTATGTGAGAAAGTACACATAGGTTACATGCAAATAGCTGATGTAAGATAAGCATTGTGTTGGATAGTTTTGTCAACTTGGCACAAGCTAAAGTCATGTGAGAGGAGGAGCCTTAATTAAGAAAACGCCTCCATAGGATCAGGCTGTAGGCAAGCCTGTAGGGCATTTTCTTAATTAGTGATTGATGTGGGAGGGCCCATTCCTTCAAGAGTGGTCCAGCCCTGGGCTGGTGGTCCTGGATTCTATAAGAAAGCCGGCTGTACAAGCCATGAGGAGCAAGCTAGCAAGCAGCACCCATTTATAACCTCTGCATCAGCTCCTGCCTCCAGGTTCCTGCCCTGTGTGGGTTCCTGCCCTCACTGCTATTGGTGATGAACAGTCATATGTGAAATAAACCCTTTCCTCTCAAAGTTGCTTCTGGTTATGGTGATTGATCACAACAATAGTAACCCTAACTAAAACCAGCATTGAGGATTAAAACAAAGATTTCATTTGTATTTACATTTATGCTTTAAAATGTTTCTGGGCAGAAAAATATCATATAATTATTCCTTATAAAATTTTGTAACAGATAATAAAAATCCTGGGCTGGAGAGAGGACTGAGTGGTTAGGAGCACTGACTGCTCTTCCAGAGGACCAGGGCAACAAGCCCGGCAGTGGTGGCACATACCTTTAATCCCATCACAAGGGAGGCAGAGGCAGGGGAATCTCTGTGAGTCTGAGGCAGCCTGGTTTACAAAGCACAGAGTTCCAGGACAGCCAGGGCTACACAGAGAAACCCTGTCTTGAAAAACCAAACCAAACAGAAACCCCAGAAACTTTTCCCCCTGCAAAAACAAAAAACAACACAATACCCCCAACCAAAAGACCAGAACATTTCCCAAAGACTGGAAGATAACAACAGAGGTAAGGGAAATACATTCACATATTGTTCATGAAATACCTATATTTAATTCTCCCCCTCCCCCCGTAGGGGAAGGTAAGATGCTAGGAATCGAGTACAAGGATTCTCAGATGCATGAGTTCTACTAGATCTATAGCCCTTACACGCTTTGTTTTAGAAGTCTTCGGACAATGATGGCATCACCTGCAATGTACCAAACCTTGACACTACAATCCTTTAACATAGCCAGACCTCATGAGTCTTAAGAAGCAGAGTGGGGTACGGCTCAGTCCATAAAGTACTCACTGAACTCTAAGGGCTGGGATCCCTGGTTGTTCATTAGCAAGCCCAGTAGAACCAAAGTTTCAGACTCAATGAGAGACCACGTGTCAAAAGACTAAGCGGGGAGCAATAGGGGGAGGTATCCAATATTGATTTCTGGCTTCCACCTGCCCCAAACCTCGATGGACATGATAAATAGTGTGCGTCTAGTTTGTGAAACACTAGATGTGATGTGGGCTGGCACAAGCCTGCTGAGTTAAGGACCACAGCTGCTTTGGAGAGCCACTTCTGCAGCTTCCTTACAAAAAGCTTAGCCGAGAAAGGCATATACTTGGCTCAAAAACAAAACCCACTGGAGCCGGAGAATGGCTTAGTGTTCCCAGGTGCCATGTTGGATGGCTCATAAATGTTTGTAACAACCCCTTCAGGGGATTTAAAGCCTGGTTCTGGCCTCTGTGCATGCACTTACATACTGTACTCTTTTTCTTACATACATAATTAATTTTTTTAAATCTTAAAAAATACATGATAGTGAGGGTAAACAAAGGATTATGTTGCCACAATATTTTTACCAAGAAAATGGAGCATTTTAATTTATACTGAATATAATACCTTTCCTCAAGCAAGCCAAACTCTCAAGGTTCAGCTGACAAAAATAGCAGCTCAGTATAATGCTTCATACTTTTAGCCCCACAGCACTCAGGAGGCAGAGGCAGCTGGATTTCTGAGTTCAAGGCTAACCTGGTCTAGAGATAGTCCCGGCTACCCAGTGAGTCTTGTTTCAAAAACAAAAACAAAAAACCAAAAATATTAATTATGACCACTTGGTGGCGCCCGTCAACCACCCTGATTGCAATCAAGTCTTCGCCTACATTTTATATTTAGTGTATCATAAAACATTTTTTTAATTAAATCATCAATTATGGTTATTGTTAGCTTCTTATTCTTCAGTAACAAGCAAACTGAAAACTCAAATTGCTTCAGAACTTTCTTTTCCTTAATCTTTACACACCAGAAAGAACCAATGGCTGGGGCGTCACACTTGGCTGTGACCCTGAGGACACACAACCGTTCATCCCAAGTAGATAACCAGTGAGCACTCAAATGGCTCTGGAGGCAGACTGGTCACAAGGAAACAAGGACACTGAAGAGGGGATGACGCAGGGGTAAGAAATACAGGGCAGTGGCTGTTAGCATCCAGGCACACCTTGGCCCTACCCCTTGGGGAGCTGGCAGAGTGCACACCTGTGAGGACATCAAGAAGTACTCTGGCTCTCTACCAGGCACAAAAGGTCGTCCCTTTAAGAGACAAGCTCTTCCTACTCCCACTCTCTGTCTTTAGGCAGTTCCTCTGCAGGGGTAGGCGGGTCTCTCTCTCTTCTCTCTCCCCCCCTCCCCTCCTCTTTCTCCCCTTTCCTTCCCCCAATAAAACCCCCCACATGGTGTATCTATCTCTCACCTGCCATGGGATCCGCCAAGGTCCCCCTCCTGTCCCATGTCATAACAGCTATGGCTCATGGGTTGAGTCCTAACCTAACATCTATAAAACCCTGGGTTCAATCCCAGCAAAAGAAGAAAGGAAGTACCACAGACAGACAAAAATGATTTATAGATATACCATACTCCTTGGCTGATACACAGTTTAAGCTGATGTACATTGAGCCAACCATTACAGGGTTTATTAGAATGTACATTTTTATGGTTTTATGTACCAGTTAAATAAAGAATAAGAGTATTTACTGGTTTTCTCTCTATTATTCTTTGAAGACAAGTTTTATGTGTACCCTGGCTGGCCTGGCACACCCTGTGTAGCCTTGACATTGTGGCAACCCTCCTGCGTCAGCCTTCAGAAAACTGGGATTACAGGTTCATGCTACCACGCCTGGCTCCTAGGAGTTTTATCACCGGAATGTGGAAAGCTGATGGTATTTTTTCCTCAATGTACAGAGACTTGCTCGTTCCCTGACCGCAGTACCATGATTTTAGAAGACAGCTGCTTCCTGGGCGTTTTCAGGAACTTCACTCACCTTCTGTCATTCACAAAGAACCTTTTACTAACCCAGTTGGTTAAGAATGACCTTGAATTCCTGATCTACTTGTTTCCACCTCCCCAGCAATGGGGTTACAATGGGTTTTATGTCGTGTTGGGGACTGAACTGAGAGTTTCCTGAAGGATACACAAGTACTCTACCAACTGATCTACATTCCTAGCTACTTCCCATCCTTTCTTTTTCTTCAATTCATTTTTATGTCTGCTTGCCTGCCCTGCCCTGCCTGCCTGCCTGCCCATCCATCCATCCATCCATCCATCCATCCATCCATCCATCCATCCAGTCTCCATACAGTCGTGTGTGTGTGTGTGTGTGTGTGTGTGTGTGTGTGTGTGTGTGTGTGTGTGTGTGTAGCTTGGAGGACAACTTTTAGGAGTCTGGTTTTCCCTTAAGCCACGTGGGTCCTGGGGACTGAACTCCAGTGTCATGTTTCATGGCATGAGTCTTTTCATTGGCACTGAATGCTTGTCACTTTAAACTACACTTAAAATATTTCATTCTAAACGGCTTAAATAAGAGAGTAAGAAGGACTACAGGAAAGAATGGGAATCTGGCTGTGGTAGAGTAGGCCTATAATCTCTGACCCAGGAGATGCAAGCAGAACCAGGGGCTCAAGGTCATCACTGGCTAAAAAGTGAGTTCAACCAGCCTGCATCACAGAGACCCAGTCTCACAGAACAAAACCCAAACCACACATGCAAGTATGGCATATGCAATGCTAAGCATAGTGGCACATATCTGTAACCTTAGAATTAGTCCTCTCGGGGCTGAGAGAGCAGGATCTCACATCCCTGACACATACAGCGAGACTCCAAGTTAAAAACAAAAACAACAACAACAAGCTCACCAGAACCTAGCCATCATTTTACGTTAACAACTATAAAATGTATTATATTTCACGCAAAGTAATTTCAAAGATGTTTGAGAGTAAGTTCAGTAGGTACTTGAGATTGTATCATTTGTGTACTAAGCACCATGAAGAAAGTCCTATAGAAAGGCCCAGTCCCATAGCTGTATAGGTAAAGAGAGGAGCCTGGAGAAGATTCACCATTTCAGAGGTGGAGCTGGAAGTACTCACATACCCACCATTTTCAAATGGTCAGCAGACTCCTGGTTAGTCATTGCTTGGTTATCCAATCTTCTGGATTTCCCCAGGTGATGTCACACAGCAAGAGAGGGGAAAAGAGGCACAGGTGACACACTTACATTTGAGGCTCTTAATGTATGCTAATGACGCACGAGGACAGTATTTTAGTATGATTTAAATACCAAGCAATTCAGGCTGCTTGCTCAGCAAAGGGTTTCCTCTACTAAGTCAGGTTTTAGAATGAAAATGCTCTATCACGAGTTGGAAGCTCTCTTCTAAGAACTAAAATAGTACTAATAAGTTTGAATAGAGATAAAAATGGACTGCACATTTGCAATAATGGACTTGACTGAATGACAAGAAAGACCTCTGTAGTCTAAGTTTGCCTTGAACTTCTGGGTAGGTAACCTCCGACCTCACCCTTATTCTGCTGCGGGATTACTGGTGTGAACCACTGTGCTTGGCTCTGCAAGTATATCTTACCATCACTTTCTCCACACAAAGGGTGAAGCCTGTGAGAAAAGTGTGTTGGAAATACCAAGTCTAAAGAGGAGTTAAAAAATAAGAAGACACATAGTATTACAAAAGTATTTTTCCTCCCTTTTCCCCCCCAAAACTATTTATTTACTCACCTTACTGTGTCTGCTTAGTGTTGTCCACATGTGTATGTGCATGAGGTCATGCACTGGACTGTGGGAACTCACCAGTGGTCAAATGTCTAGAGCAAAGTGACCTCCTCCAGCTGTATATAGCTCCTCAGTTAGAGGTGAGTTTGGGGGAGCCCTTCCCCCTCCACGCTCAATTTTCTTAAGTTAAAAATCTTCCTGTGTGTATAAATATGTGTTGTGTTGGCACTTAGCATAGTGTATGGGACAAAGCCGGTTTACGTGTTTGTCAAATGAAATGAACTTTTTTTTTTGGGAGGCTGCTGGGTAAACTTTATATCCTTCTCATTTTTCTGGGTTTTCCCTGTAGTATAAATCTTAGAGAAGCCTACTATTTTTTATTTTCACAATGACTTTATTTTTACCTTACTCCAGGTAAGTAAAAATTAAATGATCAATATCCCATTTTAAAACAGCTACTTAAGGGCTGGTGATGTAGGTTAGTGGTAGAGGACTTGCCTAGAATGTAGTCCTGGCATTGATCTTCAGCATGCCATAAAATAGAAATAAATGGACTAAGAAAAGTGTCCATGGGTGCTGAAGATACACCTCAGCCATTACAAATGGGCACTGCTCTTGCAGAGAACCAAGTTCATTTCCAGCACCCTCATCAGGCCCTTCACAACTGACTGATTCACAGTGCTGGTCCTTCCAAACTAGTGGCAATCCTCCTGCCTTACTGCTCCAATTACGGGGATTATAGGCAAACAACAGTCATACTGGGCAGCTGCTGGTTTTCCCGTCACTCACATATGCTCTGCTAATGTCAGCCCAGGAGCTTTCTTTCCTCCCAGTACTCACCAGTGTGACTGAATTTAACCTCTACTCATTAAACAAACCTGTCTGAATGTGAGTGCAGTGCCCAAACTCACTTTGAGACCTGTATTGTTATAAAAGTGTAAACACACACAGAGATATGGTTGTTAGCATCCCAGTACACTCAGAAAGAAGATACTGGACATCAAGGCAGAGTATTTTTAACCAACAGTCTTGTAAGCCTATACCTGGTACAAATAAAGTTCCAGCTTGCTCTGCCAACAGTCCTCTGTGGCAGATGCTTCAGGAGAAGAGCTGCTGGAAAAAACACTCGCACACAGAAGACATTCAAAAATAGAATGCTTTCCCCTTGAACTCTGAACTCTCTTCGAAGGAAGTTGTAAACTCTTTACATTTGGAATCTTGAAATATGAACTAGAATAATTTGCAGACTAGGAAACAATTCCTTTCTGGACTTTCAGTATGACCTTAGGGTTTCTAAGTGTGTTAACACAAGAGTGTGTAGAACAAGGCTAAAGAATGAAGCAAGAGGTAAGACCTTCACTTGAGTTTGTTATGGAAGAATTCAGTTACTGTCTGTCATTATGAGGGTTATCGTTTTTTAAATCTATAAGATGGGTAAGCTGTCTACATAAGCGATTTACTTGCTTTAAAACAGACTTTTAAGATTTGGAGTGTAAACTGAGTATCTCTAAACGCTTGTTTTATTTACTCTGGCTCATAGGAAATTAGAAAAAATAAATCAACATAGCTTTTAAGTGGCAACTCTGCTTTAGTTTTCACGCTTGCAGAAACATGAAAATTACATTGATATGGTAATGAAATTTTACATAATGCAATAAATACATTGTGTTTCTTACACAAGAAAAGGTACTGCATAGTATGGAAAGGGCTCCGGCAATGGTAACTGTTCCTGGCAAATTCACTGTATTTTTAATTGCACCTCTCTCAACTAATACTGTTTCTCCTAAGTTTGGTATATTTCGATGTCAAATTTTGTAGGGTGATTATAATATGGAAATATAAACTGTAAGTTCACTTTGAATAGAGGACTGTAATAATTTCTTTGTTGCATTTGAATCATTCTCCCTAGATAGAAAGTGAAACACTCTCGATACACACAATAAACAAAACTGAAACTGAGCAGCTGCAGGTGTAGGAGGGAAACAGGAAAAAAATCACAGACTGTCTATTTTGGTGTGGGCAATTCATGCCAATTTCCTTAAAGGGGAAAATAAGCCAGGCTTTTATGGATAATTATGAAAACAAATAGTTTGTAAGCTCAGAATGCAGTCCTCTAGCCTACATTCATGTCGGTTCTAATACCCAACGCACTTTTGAAGAGAGTAAACCAAGGCACATGGAAATTGTACTGCTGACCCCGAACATACCGACTTTCTCCTAAAACAGCAGCGCAGGTAACAACAGTATCCAGTAAAATCAAACAAGCTCACGCAACAGTCTGTTGCGCTGTCAGATTTTAAGAAGCTGCTATATGAAAGTTGGAGATCTGATGCAGAGCCAGGCATGGTGGCACCCTCCCTGCAGGAAGCACTTAGGAGGTTAGAGGCCAGCACAGCCTATTATAAGACCCTGTCTCCAAAGAGAGCTGGCATAGCCACAAGTATTCTAGATGTTACTGTGATACATACGCTCTGTGTTTTCAGGACGCAGTTTTGGAGGAGACTTACACATGCTAGGCAAATGGTCTACCACTGAACTATATGCCCAGTCCTTACATGTCTGAATCTTAATTTTCAATATCCAAGTTGTTACATTAGGAATCTAGCTTTTACCAATCCATAAAATATACTAGTATAACTCCAGTCTAAAATATACTGGGTAAAGCTCACAGGCATAAAAATTAATCTTTATTACCAGCCATTATAAACTCGAGTGACTGTGTAAAATTAAGTCACATAGCAATTGAATGCGTTGCTCTTCACTTGTAAGAACATTTCACGTTTGCCTAACATCCACATGTCTAAATAAGAAATGTTCAGAATCAGCCTGTAAAAGTTATTGATCCTCAGACACCCGAAAGCTTTACACACTTACACCTCTGTGAACAACATAGAATTTTCTATTCCACTGCATTAGGTTGGTCTACTTTTACTTCCTATAAGGCCAAACTTTCAATAAAGATAAAGAATGGTAAGTTACGTACAAGCAGCTCTTTGTCTTCAGGAGTAGTGTGCACTTACTCTGAGGGTAATCAGACCAGCTACGGCAGCAGCAGCAAAAGAAAATTCTTCCTGTCTGAGAAGCACTAATATAGCACAAGGTGCAGGGGGCGGTTCCCAAAGCCTCCACTAAGCCTTATGCAAACAGCCCTGTGACGCAAGCGGAACAGCGCTTCACTATGCTATGGGTGGCAGCCTTGCTGGCTCGCAGCTTGAGTTCATTTAGTTTACAGAACATAACTCGCTGGGAAACACATGATGGCCAAGAGCTGGTAGCTCAGCACTAGGGACAATTGCTCTGCTACCGAAGAAGGCACTGTTCCGGTAACTCCCGAGTCACCTCTTTCCTGTTTCTGACCGTACTGCGCTTGTGATGTGTGCTCACCTCTGGTGGATGCTCCACTTAGACAAAGTCAAGAGATGAAGTTGGCTGCTGAAGCCAGAAGTGGGATGGGAGGCTGTTGCTCAATTTGGCGGGGTTCCAGTTTTTAAATGAAAACAGTCAGAAGGGTGGTGTGCAGTGGTGATGGCGCTCAGCAATATACATGTATTTAGCCTCACCAAACCGTATGCTTAAACTTGACTAAAATGGGTACATCTTGTACTATACATTTCATTTTTCTTTATATTTTCCAGAACTTTTTTTTTGGTAAATTTAGTAAAACCACGCCAAAACTATGAAGGCTATTATAAAACTGGAAAATACAGGTGTAACAGTGTCCACTTGTGGTCTAGGCTACTAAGGATCCAAGGCACGCAAATCAGTGTCTATGTGGGTCAGCCTGTGTAACACAGTATGGGGGATTTTGTTATTAAAAAGGGAGATACAATGTTTTTCTTCTTTTAAAAAACAAAACTAGTCTAGTCTTTAAATTGAGCAGCAGGATGGCAACATGCTAATACTGTACCAGGGCCTGCTAGATAAGGGAGAACATGGGCTCTGGGACGCTTTATCGTCAGGAACATGGTTAAGCTGTACACACGCAAATATTTTTTTCTATCCGCCCTCTCTACTCTGCTCAGAGGAATTTAATGTCAGACTGCATTTTTAGTAATTAAACTTTGTGAGATAGCAAGTTCAAGAACTGAGTAATATTTGTTTAGGGTTTGCACTGTCAGGACTAAAGCATGCAGACGCCCTTGACAAGCACTCAAATCTAATCTGGCTAGCATGAGAGAAGTCTGCACATCTCCCCATCTTCACAGTGAGGCAGTACGGAATGTGGAGAAACGAAGATACGTGTATCAGCTTTATGCCAGTTATGAACAAAAGTTTCAAGTTTTTTTTAAAAAATCATGTTGTGCTACCGTAAACAATCATGTACACACGCCTGTGCCACTGTAGACAATCATGCACTTGCATGGGCGCACACACGCTAATCAGAAAGAAGAGTATGCTACGACTATAACTTCAAGACACTGATGCACA